GGAGTCCCTACTCAAAACATAAAGATTCTTCATAAGTTGTACAAAAATTTCATAGCCAAAATATCACCGTTCTACAACGATATAAACAGCGACGTAAGAAGAGCGGTTAAGCAAGGCGATCTATCTCGCGAAAATTATTCACCGCCACCCTCGAGAGCATCATGCGAACACTAGAATGGGACCAGATGGGGGTGAAAATCGATGGTAGGCAATTATACCATCTTCGCACTGCTTATGACATCATGCTCATAACATCGGGCATGAGCCACGCAGAACGAATACTTGCCGATTTTGATAAAGCCTGTGAAATGATTAGTGTTCAACTAAATCTGACAAGAACGATGTTTATGAAAAACGGATTGGTTTCGGCGTGCCCCATTCACGCTCATCGGAACGTATATCTCTGAATGCTCCAGTTGTATCTATCTAGGTCGGGAAATCGACATGATGAACAACTTAGCTCCAGAGTTGAGCAGAAGGAAACGAGCGGCTTGGGGAGCTTTCAAGAGCGTCAAGGGTGTAGTGAGGAAAACAAGGAACACCCGACTCAGTACCCACCTTTTCGATTTAACAACACATCCTGCGTTAAGGTATGCGCCAGAAACGTGGTCGCTGCGTAAGTATGATGAAAAACCGCTTAGTGTTGTTGAACGCGCAGTCGAAAGGGCAATACTAGGAGTATCCCGTTTCACACAACTAAGAGAAGAGATCCGAAGCTTCGACCTGCGTCAACGATCGAAAATCAAATATGCCGCTCTGTACGCCAATCAGTCGAAGATAAGGTGGGCCGGACATGTAATGCGTATGGATGACAACCGGTGGACAAGAGCCGTTAGTCACTGGATTCCTCGGGATGTCAACGTACTGCAGGGAGACCACCGACCCGACGGTCAGAATTCTTCACGAAAAGCTTGAAAAAAATATAACGCTCTACGAGTCCCTAGAGCGTGCAGAAGCCACTGGTCTACTGCATGCGACAGGGAAAAATGGAAGATTTATTGGCGCCAGCTCTGGTCACTCGACGATCAACGCGTCTGCAGGTGATACAGGTGATATGTCGGGCCTATCAGTATGAATTTCAACCAATGATTGGTTAAGGTCACTGTTATTTTACAAAATGTATATGAAAATATCAGCATGTAATTCACATATGTTGTAACATCGGCTATCAAGTGGTGAGAGAAACTAGCGGATGTGTTTTTTTTTTACCTATGAAAGTCGAAAATATCTCGAAATATGTGAGATGTTGCATAAGACTCTAAACGATGCACTAAAAACGAAGCTATCGAAAAGGTGAGAAAAGTTTATAGAAGAACTGAATTATGGACAGAAAAGCAGAACAAAAGCAACGGAGCTTGTTTGCAGCGCGTAATGACCAGTGTGAGTTGCTCTCCAATCACAGGTATAGCGTTAAAAAATTAAGAGTCAAGTGGATGCGTCAGCCACACGAGTTTAGGAGCTGGTACTTATGTGTGAATTTAGTACGAAGACTAGAGGGCGTAGTACCTCAAGTGATCAGAGTAGTAGTCGCAGCTGATTTTCTTTAATTCTTTTTTGGGAGCCGTAGTTGTTCCGTGTCAGTGTTGATGTGCCACTATTTTAAATTTTTGATTGACGAAGTTGCGAATACTCTTCCCGACCTCTGTAGCTTCGGTCTTACTGGTACGCTTCTATATCAATAGTCTTTTACGACCTCTTTGTGGAGCTCAGCATGTTCATATATGAGGTGGCGCATTAGCTTGCATGTTCCTTGAGGTAACGGTCTGTTGGTGACTATCGAACTCTGGGTTTGCACATAGCTCGCTCGAAGATACTGAATACGCTGGTATTTTACATAGGTTTTGTTAGTAACGGAATCTTTTTTAAGAACCGAATAGCGGTTTGAGTGAGCTGCAGGTTATAGCGTTTTTGGAGTTTGTGTCGTTTTCTTGTTCAGCAATCGCGAGGTTTTTAAACAGCATACATTTACTTCCATAAAAACACAATACAATACAACGCTAGCTGACGTTTCGGCAGTATCACCTTCTTCAGAGCCTGGAAGGGTATACTGATATACAATCTACTAGGCCAAACGCTTCAATAACTCTTACACAAAGACGAAAGACTCTTTGGTAATTACACGATCAACAACTTCTCGAAAAACCCACCGCTTTTTCGTGACTTCCAATGAGGAAGTTTAGAACAGCTGATTATAGTCGCATGTGGTTGACCACTGCACCATCCCACATCAAAAATCGATACGAACGTACGGGATCAGGTCGCGTATGACCTCCGGGCATTCGTCCCTGCTATTCATTGTAGGGTTTTTGGCATTGATCCAAAAAGCCTCTAGGAGTTTTCGCGCTGGTGTTTTGGACTCCTGTGCAAGGATATTGACTTTTACTTCAAAATCGTCTCCGCTATGCTTTTGTATCCTATGCGTGCCTAGTGGGGTGCTTGGTTTTAGTTTTCGTTTGCCATCTAGGTGTTCTTTTATACGGATACACAAAGGTCTGCCCGTTTCGCCAATATATTCATCTCCGCAATTGTTACACGAGATCAGGTATATCGTACCTGAACTCATGCAATCACCGTCCCTGCCGTAAGGGCAAATTACGCAATTTATTGTTTCACACAGACGGTCATACAGGCGGTTGCGAACTAATTGGCGACGTAGAGTAGTCGGTGGTATTTCAACTATCGCTACCGATTCCTCTAGACCTGCCCTTCTTAAGCATCGTTTTATAGCTTTTATAGCGTTTTATAGCNTTAGAACAGCTGATTATAGTCGCATGTGGTTGACCACTGCACCATCCCACATCAAAAATCGATACGAACGTACGGGATCAGGTCGCGTATGACCTCCGGGCATTCGTCCCTGCTATTCATTGTAGGGTTTTTGGCATTGATCCAAAAAGCCTCTAGGAGTTTTCGCGCTGGTGTTTTGGACTCCTGTGCAAGGATATTGACTTTTACTTCAAAATCGTCTCCGCTATGCTTTTGTATCCTATGCGTGCCTAGTGGGGTGCTTGGTTTTAGTTTTCGTTTGCCATCTAGGTGTTCTTTTATACGGATACACAAAGGTCTGCCCGTTTCGCCAATATATTCATCTCCGCAATTGTTACACGAGATCAGGTATATCGTACCTGAACTCATGCAATCACCGTCCCTGCCGTAAGGGCAAATTACGCAATTTATTGTTTCACACAGACGGTCATACAGGCGGTTGCGAACTAATTGGCGACGTAGAGTAGTCGGTGGTATTTCAACTATCGCTACCGATTCCTCTAGACCTGCCCTTCTTAAGCATCGTTTTATAGCTTTTATAGCGTTTTATAGCAGTTTTTTTGGAGTTTGTTTTCTTACACTTTGTAGTTTGTTCCCTTACCACGAAAAAAGATCTTGTGAGAGGGAAGCGATGGTCTGGTTCTGCATATAACTTTCTATTTACTTGTGGTTGTGATGCTTATTTATTCACTGCTTGTTATCTTTTCGTGGTAGTTTATTATGTGAATTACATCTACAATAATGTTGAGGTATTTGCAAAACTTGGATTCCAGGCCGGAAAGGGTAATCGCAGGTTCGAATATGGCCTGGGATCCAAGTTTTGCAAACATCTCCGCATCACTGAGGTTGTTTTTCACATCATACCCAGCCGTGAAAAATAATAAGCGGGAAATAAAAATTTACACATTGTGGTTTAGACTGCGGCCTCAGTTTAACTGAGTTGAGTGCCGATTTCTACTTCCCAGATCACTCCCTTTGCCTGGTGATTGCTTATGGCACCTTTAGAGTAAAAAAAAAACCTGACTGATGGAGGCAAAGCGAGGGCCTTAGTGGTGCAGTAGGTAGTATGTGAGTCCCCGGAAAGGATAGTCATAGCTTCTAACCTGCTGTAGGGTCTGAGTTTTGCAAATATTTAAGCATTATTCTGGTGTTATTCTGCGTAAAATATTGTAAGACAGCGATATCGGTTAGGCAAAACCTCGACTTACAGCTCCGTAGTCTCCTCGATCTACTGTGTCGTAGTCTATCTTGTTATGATATCCTTCACTAGGAGACATCCACGCTTCAGATTTAGGGTGACATCCGGGATCGTGTTTTGCTGTGGATGTTTTTGGTGGTCATGATAAACTCGGACGGCCACCCATCCTCCTCATCCCATCCTAATCTGTGGCTCCCAATGTAACTTTCTTCAGACCTTCTGGGTTCCAGTCTTAGCGTTGAGATCTCTAATGATGACCTGAAAGAATGTATGGCCTTCTCTGTAGAACTTTTCTAAGTCCGCTTTGACTTCGTCTTAGCTTGATATCGGTACGTCGACGGCTAAGGTTGTCACAGCCGGTGTTAATCCACGTGTCGTCAACCGTAAACATATCTTAGTTATTCAAATGAATCGATATTTACGGCCATACTGGTGTTGACGACAACGCCGACGCAGCCGACTTCTCCGTTGTCGCATGTTCTAAGGAAGTTTTTTTCTGGTACCAGACAGCTACTCACTCTGTCCGTTCCATTCTAAAGCGTTAGTGTCTCAATATGGCATTCTTACATCTACATTTTTCCTTAATTGTAGCTCTCGGAAACTAGCGCTTTTGGTGAGTTCCCGCTCAATGCAAAATGATGATTATAAAAATATCTCAGCGCATTCTTCCATTTAAGTATCATAATGCCGTCCACAATTCTTCCACTCCTTCTGCTGCTCCCTCTTTTCTGGATGATCTACTTGGAGGTCTTCTCGGGTTTCTAGTCGAATGCCGGTGAAGAGCATTCTTTTTTCGATTAAAGTATCTCGGTCAGTGAGGCACATACTGTGACAAGAGAACAACCAATGTGCAAATCCCTTCCTTTATCCTACAAATTGTGCACGAAGGGAACTACCACGGATTGAAAGGGTCATTAGCGACATCAACTGTGTTTCTCTATGCTTGTATTATGTAACCAACACTATCATACAATTGGATGGATTCATCTGAAAGCATATTTCTGAGATGGAGTGTATGCATTTGATTCTTTTTTATATGCATTTTCGGATATTCGAGTTTTCATTTGATCTCGACCAGGTATTATGGACACTTGACTTTGATAGTTGCGGTTTTAAGGAATAGAAACCAAGGAAAAAGGAAAGCCAAAGCGTTAGTCCCAATAAAGTCTTGTAAAAAACTGCATGTTTTTTAAAAAAGAAGAAAAGTACTTCCAAACTTTTTTCCAGATCGACAAAGGAGCAGTATATCAGTTAATCAAACAAAATCCGGAGCGCAGGCGGTTCATCCAAAAGTATTTCGAAAAATATCCAGATTGGCCATTAGTACGCATGAAAAAACCGTCACCATCTGAGAAGCCAGCCCAGGCTGTAGTGGTCTGCGAATTCTTCCTTTTTGAACCGTTGAAATTTTATCTTTATGTCCAATTCGATTTTCTTGGTCTCAAAGTAGTGTCTATATGCTGTTATTTGTTGTTATAAAAGACGTGCATAAAAGCGTGTTTGTCAATGGTGTAAGCTTTTAGGCATACGACCGTAATCAAGATCGTGTAACGGCCTATGTGGTATCTACCGATCGAGCACTTTGTGTTCTGCGTTTTCCTCCGAGGAGCTCCTCAATAAGTGGAGCGAACTGTTTCGACTATCCGTGCGAAATACGTGGACATTTGCATCTGGACGAAACGATCTTCAGAGGGTCGTCCAGGATTCATGCGGTTGTGAGTGTTTGAACAAGTTAAGAAAGCTGTTCTCTTACTCGAATGCATGGAAAGAAAAGAAATAAGAGAAGAAAAGGGAAATGAAAGAAAGTAGAAAAGTGTGCATCGCAAACGTATATAAAACTTTGTTAAACAAGGAAAATGAATACTAGGAGGATGAAAGTTTTGCGGTAATTTCACTAAAAGCATTTGTAATGACTTTAAACGCTTTTGTTTTTTTTTAGAATTGGTACTTAAATTTCTTTGTTTCGATATAAATTTGATTTCTATTTTCTGTCAATTTACGGAACACTGTGTTCAACTATGCTCCTCCCTGTTCTCTAACACATAACGCCCGACTTTTAATTTTTCGTAACTGTGGCTTGGGAAGACGGCTGATTTTCTTTGTCGGTTGTGGATTTAGAACAACTCTATTGTTCAAACACATGACTGTCTGCATATAGTGAACGGTGATGGTTTCTCGATAACTGACAGTAATTTATCGACAACTAAAGTGTTTGAGGAGTTGGGAGCATAACAAACTCATGGGAGAGACGTTGTCCTATCGCCTTTCGTATATCCGCAGTTTTTATAAAATGCTCTTTCAATCTAAAGCTAGTTGAGAAAAAGGTAAGGAAAAAAATTTTTCAAGACAGGTTCATTTAGTTTTTTAGAGTAGAAAAACTTGTCGGAAAAGTTCTACATGTCCTGCTATCTTTGTTTCAAATAGTAATATCCATTACGAGGTGCTTATCTAAAGTGAAAATAGTACGGACTCAAATTGTCCAAATTGTGCATTGAAGGCGAATAAACATATAAAATTATGGCATATGGTCAGCAAACACCTTTCCAGTTGTGGAGGTTTGAATGGAGCGGGCGTGGCAAAGCTTGTATACCATTTACTTGTTGAGGGAGGGCATGCGTATTCCGATAATTGCCATAGGAGTGTCCCTTTGGATGAGAACGTTGTTCAGTGAATACCTATGACTGCCACTTTCAAGAAGAACAGAAAGAATTACAGGGCAGGTCATACACCAGAACCTTAAAGGAGAGCAAAATCACGAATTTTTGGATGCTACATTCTGTTTATGGGTAGAATTGAGCATAGAATTGAGCTCTTGATTCTCCTATGCCAAAAACACTGAAAGTAGAATTATTGTTTTGGAGCTCAGAGATAGAGATTAGTAAAATCACTATGATAATAAGAGTTGGGAGCATTTTTTAAAAGAAAAGCTGTGTGGAACTTGATGAAAGAACATTTGTTGAACACTGAGCAATTCTGAAGTGGGAATCTACATTACTACAGTGACACCTATACATATTTTTTCAATACTTTGTTATTTTCTCCTTGAAAAAGGATTTCTTTAAATGGATAGCTTTGGTATTCAAGTACAACAGCGGCATGTCCTGCGGGTGCTTTCCTCATCAGCAAGAGTTTCTCGCCGTGGGCAAAAAAAAATCTTGCACTGTAAACAATGTTTTGTGGGCTGTTAGGTGTAGAATGTGACAATTCTTGGCCGTTGTCTATCACAATGTATTGGATAAGCCATCGACTGATTAAAAAAGTACAAAATAAAGTGCTACGTTCAAAAACAAACCACCTGGAAGAATGCATAAAAGTCAGTGCGTCCACTCAGTTGGTCAGCATTGAAATTGGGGATCTCGTGGTAAGTGTTAAAGAACTTTGTAGGTGTTAAACCCATGTACGTTATGCAAGAATCTGGTAAAGTTATTTGTTGCAGACTCTGGAGCACTTCGGAAGCAATAACATGTCTGCACGACGTATGGCAAAAAATCGCTCTCACTTTGATGTAGTGCAGCCGAGTCCATGTCGCGATAAATTTAAGGCCTCATCGGTTACTGTAAGACCTAGAACTTCTTCTTAATATTATATAGCGGGTAGATTATTATTGAGGCTTCTTGTTCTCGAACTTTTCATCGTAGTGAAAATAGCGGCGGGTTCTGATAATCCATTCCATCGTTCGATTCTCTTTATCTAACGATTCATTGGAATTTAACTGTATTCATGTTTTACTGTATAATTCATTTTGAGGAACAAGAGAGTTTTCTAAGAGGTTTTTAGGTACTAGTATTTACCTGCTTTGCTGATCTGTTCTTTTCATATCCACGCAGTAACTACTTTTTCTTTCTATTTTCTTCACTCTTTAGAGTATGATTTTTCAAGGCAAGAAAATCATCGGTGCCGGTAAGAGTTGAAGGTGATCTAAGGGATGCGCTGAGCTATGAAATGGATCCAGCAACATTGGCTATACGGTTGAAAAAAGAGGCGCTGGTGAGGTTCCATAACTTCTCTAAATTTCGAATTTCTCAACGGTATAATATTTTTTCTATATTAATATTACACGAGTTCAAAGGGAATCTATTACGGTACAAAGTAATAATAAAGTCGGATTATCGTTTTTCGTCCCCATTGATTTTACGGTTTTTCACAATTTTGTTACAATTTTTTATGTCGCAGATTGATCTGCTTCCAATTCTTCAGTTTGACATACTACCTTGCAATCAACCTCTTCCTCATGTTGTGTGGCAATACCATACCGAGTGCACACCAGTATGCTTGGCGGGACTGGACCGTGATCCTGCAGATCCGCAGTTTTACAAATGTTCACCCTTACATATCCCACTTCTGTGTGGATGGCGACGGATGGTTGGTTTACCAATATAGTTTAGCAATTATTTGTTTTCCAATACTTTTATGCAGTTTTTCCTCATGATCACGAGCCATTTCTGAAGGTCATGGAATCATCCAGTTGGTTGAGAACATCATTTTTTGAAAACGAACTTTTCAGTTGTATGTGCATGAAAGCTCACTAAGGCGAGGATGTGAGAATCGCATTCTCTATCGTGCACCGTGTGGACGATCATTGATATCGAAAAAATACATTGCAACATATTTAAGGGTGAGGTCCTATTATTTTTTCATGGTTTCAGCTTGCATCCATTTGAAAATAAGAGAGTGCAGTAAATGAGCTTCATGACATGCCAGGAGTGCATTAAACACTGATTTTTCTATTATCTGGTAGTCATTTGTTCAACAGGCGGTGTTGGTCCGAACGAGCTAATTGAAGGTAAGAAACAACTTTGATGTTTTTCTTTTGGATTGGTCAACACTGGAGCGCTAGAATCGAGGCTTCCAAGCCCATTTGGCGTTCTGAGTTTTGCTCATATCACAGCATTCTTGTAGTTGTACTTCAAACCGAACTTTGTCTTAAAAAAAGAGTAAATGAAAAAACTTAGGGCATTCTAACGTTGATTTTTTCGAAATTCTTCTCAGCACATTCATTCTTTTACCAACGTTCTGAATTCGCCTACAGAACCTCTAGTATTGCCCTTCATTATTTCTAACCCAAGCATAATTCGTGTGAAATATAAAAACTTTTTCGAAGTATGAGCTTTCGATCTTTACATATCCGATATTTCCTACATTTCTCCGCGGTTTTTCTTTTGTCAGCGAAATCAAGTTATGAATATGTGTATTTCAGTTAATTTTTAGTGCTCATTTTTCAGGAAGTCGGAAGTGAGTTGACAATTGATCTGTTTTGCTTCGATCCTGCCATAGAAACGAAGAATTTTGTACACGTAAGCTGCCTTTCTATTAATGAGTAGCTAAAAACCCTATGGTTTGTGGAATCTAGGCTTAAATTTGGGCTTGTTATTTGCTTCAACTCCGTTGCGGAAAACCACCTGTATATTCGTTGACGGGATGTTTTTATGCGACTACGCCTATATTTTTGGTTTCATTGGGGCCACTTCTTGGGTTTCGTTCAGGTTTCAGATCGCATCAGATTAATATCGATTTCATTTAGAAGAAAGTTGTTAGCGTTAAACAAGCGAACTATATTATAGTGAAATTTATCCAATCATTAATGGAAAAGGAGATCGAGTCACAAACTATTGTGAAATTACTCATACTTTCAATTTTGTCCAACACCATCTCTTACCTTTTCACCTCACAGATTTTCAGTGACTTCCTATTCAAAATAACTACGTCACCAATCGGTGTTTTCCAACCTGATGAGATTGAATTTAATGGATCTTGGGCGCGTTTTGTACGTGGAGAAATTGGTCTGCATCGAAAATTGCTCCAATTTTTGCTGTTGGAAGTATCATCGGCAAAAGTAAAAGATCGCCCTGAATAGACGCAAGACTGAAAATTGGATCTAAGATTCATAAGTATTGACGAAAGTATGGATAATTACTCTTGGAGTGAAAGAAGAACACGACATAATATTGGAATCCTGCAACGGATATTATGCAAACTGGCGTTAACCCATTTAGAACAACAAAACACGGTTACCCAACACCTGATGCTTCCATATTCACCGTTCAGTTTTATTAGCTGCTATAACTGTCATGGTGAGAAGTTTCAAACTAGGTTCGATGGGTGAAATGGAGGTGCATGATGAAGATACCATAGACCAAATGCGATCGATAAATGAAAATGAGGATGACTCGGTAAATCCATAAACTGAAGATTGAAGTAATACAAAGATATGACGAATACACTTTTCTCCTAAGATCAAGAAGTATGTACAGCATTTGCGAGATGCTGAGCATTTCTCCTAGAAGTGAACAAATTGGAGACTTGGTCCTGGTCACCTGTATCACCTGTAGTCCAGTTGATCGTCCACTCACTAACTCGAGTGGGTGCCAGTAAGTAATCTTCCATCTTTCCCTGCCTCGTGCAACAGTAATCCAGTGGATTCTGCTCGCTCTAGGGACTCGTTGAGCATCATATCTTTTTTCTAGGCTTTTCCTAAAGAATTCTAACCATTGGGTCGGTGGTCTTCCTGCAGTACGTTTAAGATTCCGAGGAATCCAGTCACTAACGGCTCCTGTCCATCGGTTGTCGTTTATATGCATTATGTGTCTGGCCCACCTTATCTTCGACTGTTTTGCATAAAGAACCGCGTTTTTGGTTTTTGATCGTTCACGCAGGCCGGAGCTCCAGATCCTATCCCTTACTTGTGTGGAACGGGATACTCCTAGCGTCGTCGTTTCGACTGCGCGTTTGATAACGCTGAGTGACCTTTCATACTGCTTACCGAGCGAGCAGGTTTCTGGCACATACGTCAGGGCAGGAAGTACCGTTGAGTTGAAAAGGTGGGCGCATAGTCGGGTGCTCTTTGTTCTCTTCATTACATCCTCGATACTCTTGAAACTTCCCCAATGCGCTCGTTTCCTTCTACTCAACTCTGGAGCTAAATCGTTCATCATGTCGATTTTCCCGACCTAGATAAACATAACTGAAACCCTCGGAGATATTCGTTTCGTTGAGCATGAATGGCCCGTGCGAAACCAATCCCTTCCTGATAAACATCGTTTTTGTGAGATTTACTCGAAGACCAATGTTTCCACAGGCTTTATTGAAATTGGCAAGTATTCGTTCCGCTTGGCTAATGTTTAGTGTTATGAGGACAATGTCATCAGCAACGTGAAGGTGGTGTAATTGCCGACCATCGATTTTCACTCCCATATTATCCCATTCCAATGTTCGCATGACGTTTTCGAGGGTGGCGGTAAATAATTTTGGCGAGGTGGATCGCCTTGCCTAACCACTCTTCTGATGTCCATGTTAAAATCGTTGTAGAATGGTGATGTATTAGTTATGAAATTTTTGTACAGCTCACAAGAATCTTTATGTACTGAGCAAGGGCTCCTTGACTATCAAGGGCTTCTGTGACTGCTTCTATCTCAATTAAATCAAAGGCCTTCTGTAAATCGATGAAAGTTAGGCAGAGCGGTCTTTTGCACTTTTGCAGTTCAATGAGCATTGTTATCGTGTGTATGCGATCCATCGTACCAAATCCTTTTCGAAACCCCGCTTGCTCGCTTGGCTGCCCTTCGTTCAGTGTTCTGTCAATTATGTTTAGGATGACTCGAGTGAAAAGTTTGTTGCCAGCAGACAGCAAGCAGGTTGGGCGATAGTTGCCGATATCGTGCACGTCACGCTTCTTTAACATTAGCACGGTCTTGCTGGTTTTCTGCTGAGTGGGGACCTAGCATTCGGAAATGTAACGTGTGAACAGCCGGGCTAGTGTGTTTATGACGACTGGCAGAAGGTTCTTCAGGTGTTCAGATCTTATCCTGTCTGGAGCAGTTCGATTTTTCATCGGCTAATAACCTGTCGGATTTCGGAAGGGAGAATCAATGGTACAACATATCCAACCTCCTTTATTTCGTATGACTGGAGGTGGACGTGGCTATCGAAGAGATCTGAATAGTAGTGATTCGTGATTTTGTGATTGATTTTCTCCGCTGCTTTCTGGACAATGTAACTGTTCCGTCTAGGCGTCGGAGTGCAATCACCTTGGTCAGGTGATTGGCGAAGCTTCGGTGGACTTTGCGAATGCTTTTCCCAGCCTCTGCAGCTTCGGCCTTTACTGCTGCTCTTCTCTCTTTAATGAGTTCTTCTTTTATTGCCTGTCTGCATTGTTTCGCAAGTTTGGGCGTTTGTTCGCGGGTGCGTGAAACTCGCGCGATTCTACGCTGACGTATCAGCTGGAGACATCTCTTGGTGACTTTCGAACTCTCAGCTTTCATAGCGCGGATGTGAAGATGTTGAATGAGCCGATCCTATTCCTCATCGATGTTATCAACAACGGTGTTTTCCCAACAGCCGAGTAGTGAGTTGAAGGAGTCCCGTTTTATAGTGATTTTGAGACTTCGTTTTTTAAATTTAGCGGCTTTTTCTCCTTTCCTCGAGAAATCGAATATTGTGCGAACGAGGTCTGATCCCATGTGGATTTTTGGGACAACAGAGACATTGGTCAGGCAAAACCTTCGGCTCACTATGATGTGGTCTATTTGGTTATGGTACTCTCAATTTGGAGACTCCCTCGTCCCGCGCTGGGGTGGGGCTTTTGGAATTGCGAGTTACCATGGATGGTGGTTCGTGATGATAAAATCACGGGGTTGCTTACACTCTTCGTTCCATTGTAACTCGTGGGTCCCAATGCGACCTTCTTGAGACGTTCTTCTTAGTCCAATTTTGCGTTGAAATCTCCAGCAATGACCTTGAAGAATGTATGGTTTTCTTTGTAGAACTTCTAGTCCATTTAGAACGCTTAGACTTCTTCTTCGTCCTAGCTCGACGTCGGGGCGTAAACGACGGAGATTGTCGAAAAATTTTTCTAATTGTAAACGTCAGATTCTGGTTGTAAGTTGTTTGAATGAATCGATGTTCATGGACAAACTCGTGTTGAGGAGAACCCCTACGCCGCCGACTCCTCTACTGTCGCATGTTCGGAAGAACAGTTCTTCTCCGGCGTCATAGACGGCGTTGAGTGGCTGGCGTCGTCTTGTCTCGACAAGGCCGGTGTCGTCGCCCTCTATCCGTCTTGTCTGCATTATCAACTCTTCTATCGAGGACTCGAATCAATGATTCCATTGACGCTGGGATTTTGGCGATTTTGGCGGTATTCGTCCTACGCAACACTGCCGAATTGAGGGCTCTTTCGGGGTCTGGGGAATGAGGCCCATTTCTCCTACTGTGTTTAACATTTTGATACCCACGTATAGCTCGCTGGGCTCTGAACGTGGGGACTGGGTATACTCACGGGTTGCTCGCCAATCTCTCACGGAGTGGACATCGAGCCTGTCTGTTGGAGGAGACTCCTAACTGCCTACCACATATTTCCCTGTCACTTGATTGCAGAATTTTGGCCAAGTTTACTTGTAGAATAAAATAGAATGCACATCAGCTTGAAGGCATACACACACACACACACACACACACACACACAACAACACACACACANTCTCTCACGGAGTGGACATCGAGCCTGTCTGTTGGAGGAGACTCCTAACTGCCTACCACATATTTCCCTGTCACTTGATTGCAGAATTTTGGCCAAGTTTACTTGTAGAATAAAATAGAATGCACATCAGCTTGAAGGCATACACACACACACACACACACACACACACACACAACAACACACACACACACACACACACACACAACAACACACACACATTCGTGAATACGCCTCGTAAATACAGGAAGTATGTGCCAAATCGACGCAGCAGAAACAGGGAAGCGTATGCCCTGGAACCACCTGCGTCTCTGGGAAAGATACGGTCGCTTTTGTTCCGCGATTAACCCCCTATCCACCACCTGAGGAGGTGCCAGGTAGCCTCGCGACTGAGCGACTCGAGACTACTCATATGAAGGGCTTCTGTGGTGGTCCTGGTAGAAAATGCAAATACGGTGGATGGTCAGTTCCAGGTACAGAGCAATCATTTAGAAAAACTTGAACGGTGCGGGCAAGAGAAGACGCTGTAGTCGTATCAGACAAGAAACAATTCGATGACCTGTGCTATTAGAACCACTACTGAATGGAGGTTTCGAAGATTTGCTGTAGTGTTATCCACCGCCCCAAAAATCAGCTAGACAAGAAAGCAGTTTCGCTTTAGCTTCTTACGTTTCTCAATACCTTTGCAAGGACTCAAGGCCTTCGTTAAAAAGCGATCAAAGCTGTCATGACAATATCCCAACCCTTAATAGAGCGTTCGTTAGGTGAAAGTGCTTTACGGCGGTGTGAAACCAAAGAGGATACGAGTGCCTTTGCGAGGAACTTATTAGACTGCTGATCTGTTTGGAACTAGAGTCAGTGAGCCGTGATTGAAGTCTTATTCGTCCTCTCGATCATGCAATTATCATTAAAAGCGTAATTATGAACGAAGTAGACGATTTATTCGGTTGACGACTACTACGAAACGAGACAATTCATGAACATAGTCTCTCCAAATATTGAGAGATTGTGAAACCCTTGTAACACCAGTTCATTACAGCAGTTCTGAACAATAGCCAAACATCGCTGTAAACTGCTTTATATTTTAAGGTACCTAATACATGTATCAGATCTCCTGACTTCGCAGGAGGTATGGAGAATATGCCAATACCCGTGGTGAACACAGTGGACGATGATGATCCTCCTAAGGTAGGTGTTAAGAAGAACTATAATTTACAAGGAAATCATATTTGTGAAAGTCAAATTTTGAGCTTTAGTGTAACTTCGTTTCTTTTTTATATTAACAGTATCTTAGCAATTCCAACCAATAGTAATTTTAGATAAAAGAATGGTTTACAAGGCTACGGGGCAACAATGAAGCACACATAGTGGCTCGATTTGTCCTCAAGTTTGATCAAATGTTACTTCCCGGTCGTTCAATATCCAGTAGTCTTGTCTTGTAGGTGTAAAACACCGTTTCATTCATCGCCTGAGATACACAAGTAATAGTGGAGGAGAATTCCTTTGCTCTTTGTTTTGATTCTCAATTTAAACGTTCATATATCAGCAGTGTGAAAAGGATAAGATAGGTGTTATATTAAAATACTGACGTAATGGATCAAGGAGAAAAAAATAAGAAGACAAGGAGAATACTGATATAAGATTTTGTAATTTTTATTTTAACAATATTTTTTATACGTTTTTCTTACAGTTGTGTTAGATTTTTATTGCCTTGATTTTTATCTATGTATGACTTAAATGTATTTAGATATCCTATTGCGCACGTCGTTTTCCGTATAATCATCAAGTAGACGTGAAGACGATCTCTAGGGACTTCTGTTCAGGCTGCTCGTGCACTGGTTGGTGCATTTCAGGTGTTCAAAAAATTTGGTGAAAAGATTACGCTAAGAGAACTATATGCATGGTGTGCTATATAATGGATGAAACTTCCACCATCAGTTCCTTGTTTCCATAGAGATTTCAGCCTATGCTGTTCCTATTGAGATTGCTTCGTATGAAAGTGGCTCTTTTTTAATGTACTTGAATACTTAAGTGAAGAGCTCAATAATTCAAGATGACTGCTCGGATCCATCAAAATGCGAATGTCAGATTTTGACGGCGGCAAATGTTCAGCGGCTTGCGAAAAGTTTCCGTCCGGCGGTCGGCGAATACGGGTATTCCTGTTTTATTGTTCCTTCAAGTTTAAACATTTTTTAATGGTTTACATTATCAAATAGCTTACCACCTTATCGTAGCTATGTGTTCTCTGGAGTATCGAATTGCGACGTTCAGCGAAGGTTCATCCTACAGCATAATATCTAAAGATAGAAACAACTTCGAAATTTCCGTTCAGAGGCACAGATAAGCATAAACCAAGGCCATGTATTACTACGATCTTGACAACAACACAGTACATCACGTTTGATATTGGATTAACACTGACTCGCCTCTTGCGACGTTAGGGATCGTGAGTTTTGGGATATATATGGGAGACTTGTGCTATTGAATTATAGCGTGGTCTTTCTGAGCGATTTGAGGATGGAGTTGTGACATAAAACCACAATGTTGGTTTTCGAGGAGCGTTGGAGATTTGTTCCATTGAGGTGTGATTGTAGGCCGCGAAATACTTTCTTTTACTCGTGAATTCCACGTTAATCACCTCAAACTCAGTCAGAACATTGTTGACGACACCCAATTTTCGGCGCTTTGGCGCAATTACTCACAAGTTTGCTATTCCATCCAGAGTACCAACCCAGTTAATAATCCCGCTCCATGGTGAGGTTTTCTGTGTTGCATGTCTTGGCTGAATGTATACTAGCTTACTGAGACAACGATCGTGGGAAGATTAATTTTTGACGAAATCCCACGGAAGTGATGTTTGTAAAGAACAGATTTGTTTCTGATATTCATGCTCAACGGAATAAATGTATCCGAGTGCTTCAGTTTGTGTATTTAGGCCCGAGAAATCAACATGGTTAAAGATTTAACTCCAGTGGTGAGACGAAGAAATGAGGAGCTTGGGAGTTTTGGAAGGTATCGAAGGTGTAGTGAACATAACAAGGATCACTCGACTCTGTGAAGAATCTTCCTACCTAAATGCACTTGTCTGAAACATGGCCATTACGTAAGCAAGAGGGATGCCCACTTCGTGCTATCAAAGGCGCAGTTGGGAAGACCTTGCTAAGAGTATCAAGTACCACGTAGGCGAGAGAGGAAATCCGAAACCTTGCTATGTTTAAACGATCAAAGGTCAAAGACACCGTTGTGCACGCGAAAATATGAAAAATCAGGTGGGTTGGACACTTGGTGTGACTGATTGATGGTCAATGGACAATAGCTGTTTGTAATAAGAAAGAATTCGTACACTAACCAACTATATCGCTGTCAACCACTGGTTCGTTTTGTGATATATGCAATGTTTATGTTTTTAAGGGGCGAAAATCAGAATGGTAGTAATGTCCGTCATCACGAGCATGGTGCTAGTTCGATTTCGCTGTGGCCCAACCAAACCTCTCATCGCTCTGGGGTCGGGAAATTGGTGCCGAACTTGTCTGGGGAAAATCGCCGTCTGCAATCTAATTGGAAACGCTCCAGCCCGACTATCTCAGGATTCCAGGGAGGATTGTTCGACCAGCATTCTACAACATTCAGGGCGAAGTGGAAATCCTTAAGCTGCAACGAATCCACGCATAAAGTTGAAAGATACTCGTAGATGTTGGATACGAGGAAATGAATCGAATGTGAGAAGTGCTGGGATCCGCACAGTAGACATGAAGACGGATGAAATAAAATAAAAAATAAACAGATAAATTGTTTAGGTTTTTAACAGAAGCTTTGAATCGCTATAGCAATTAGTAACGAAAGGAAAAATAATTATTGGTTGAAGTTGCATTGGCTTTCATCACTTCGACGACAGGGAACCAAGCTTCGTTTTCAATATTTTGAAACGTATCGGAGAAAACACTAGTAGTTGCGGACGAAAGAAGGATGTCGTAGGGTCCAATAATTGTTGAATAATTGATAGGGAAATTATGATCTATGCCACGTATTTCCCTCATATGAGAGATCTCGAGCCGGTTAGTCGCGAGGCTACGTGGCGCGTCCCCAGGTGGCGGATAGGGGGTTAATCACGGACCAAAAGCGACCTTTGCTTCACTGAGACGCAGGTGGATCCAGGAGTTAGAATCTTTATTTCTACTGCTCCAATTTGGCACATACTTTACATATTTACGAGGCGTATTCATGCACGTGTGTGTGGGTGCGTTCAAGTTTATGAGGATTGTATTCTACGAATCAATTCGGCCAAAAGCCTGCAATCAAGTGACAGGGAAATATATGGAAGGCAGTTAGGAGTCGCCTCCAACAAATAAGCTCCATGTCCATTCTGGGAGCTACCCGTGAGTATACCCAGCCCCAGGTTCAGAACGCAGCACGTTATACGTGGGTATCAAAAAGTGCTAAACACAATAAAAAGAACGGGCCTCATTCCCCTGACCCCGAAAGAGCCCTCAATTTCGCACCATTGGGAAGGAGAAGTACGGAGAGGCTGCTAAAATCTCAGGCCCGATGGAAGCTGCCTCGATCACGAAGAACTAAGGTGACGATCTGTACCTACAATGCACGCAGAGTTGCATCCGAGTCCTCGATAGAAGACTTGCTCATGCGAGCAAGAAGGATAAGGTACGACGTCACCGACCTGGCCGAGACAAGGAGACACCATCCTCTCAACGCCGTCTATGACACCAGGAATGAACTGTTCCTCGGAACATGTGACAGTAGAGGAGTCGGCGGCGTCGGCGTTCTCGTCAACACGGGTTTGTCCATGAACATGTCCATGATTCATTCGAACAACTTACAACCCGAATCGGACGTTTACGATTAAGAAGACGTGGATCAATTCCGGCTCTGACAATCATCATCGTTTACGCCCCGACATCAAACTATGACGAAGAAGAAGTCGAAGCGTTCTGTATGGACTTGGAGAAGTTCTACAGAGAAGACCGCACATTTTTCAAAGTCATCATTGGAGATTTCAACACTAAGATTGGACCAAAAAGAACGTCTGAAGAGCGTCACATTGGTACCCACGGATTAGAATGGAACGAACAGGGTGAGCGACCATCTGAGTTTATGATGGCGACCAAGACCATCCATGGTAACTCGCAATTCCAGAAGCCCCACTCTCAGCGTTGGAAGTGGGAGTCTCGCAATGGGGAGTACCATAACGAAATAGACCACATCATAGTAAAGAGAAGGTACTGCCTAACCGATGTCGCTGCTGTTTCAAAATTCTACACAGGAACAGACCATCACCTCTTCCGTGCAAGATTTCACTTCTCGCGGAGAGGAGAAATACCCGCTAAATTCAAAAACCGAAGTCCCAGAACCACCTTAAATTGGGGTATATTCAATTCACTAGTCGGATGTTGGGAAGCTGCTGTTGTCGATAGTATCGCCGAGGAATACGATCGGCTTATTCAGCATCTTCACGCTAGCGCTATGAAAGCTCAGAATTCGAAGGTCACCAAGAGACGTCTGTCTCCGGAAACACTCGAGCTGAAACGCCAACGTGGAATCGCAAAAACGAGCTGCAGGCAACCGCGAACTAACGTCCGAACTTGCAAAACAATGCAGAGAGGCGATAAAAGAAGATCTTAGAGAGAGAAGAACGGTAGTAATGGTCGATGTTGCAGAGGATGGGGAAAGCATTCGCAAAGTCCACCGAAGCTTTGCCAATTACAAAACCAAGGTGATTGCACTCCTACGCCCAAATGGAACAGTTAAAGCGTGCAGAAATGCAGTGAAGAAAGTTATTCAGGAATACTACCTAGATCTCTTCGATAGCCACGTCCATCTTCCGTCATATGAAATAAAGGAGAATGGATATGTTGTACCACCGGTTCTCCCTTCCGAAATCCGACATGCCATTTCGTCGGTCAAAAATCGAACAGCACCAGTTCCGGACAGGTTAAGACCAGAACACCTGAAGAACCTTCCGCCAGTCCTTGTAAACACACTGGTTCGGCTCTTCACACGTTACTTGTCTAAATGCAAGGTCCCCACTCAGCAGAAAACCAGCAAGACCGTGCTAATGTTAAAGAAGCGTGACGTGCACGATATCGGCAACTATCGCCCAATCTGCTTGCTGTCTGCTGGCTACAAACTTTTCACTCGAGTCGTTCTAAACATAATTGACAGAACACTCAATGAAGAACAACCATGTGAGCAAGCAGGGTTTCGAAGAGGATTTAGTACGATGGACCACATCACCAGTTTCATCGATTTAGAGAAGGCCTTTGATTCAGTTGAGATGGAAGCAGTCTGGGAGGCCCTTGACAGTCAAAGATTCCCTACTCAGTACATAAAGATTCTTCATGAGCTGTGCAAAAATTTCACAACGAGGATATCACCACTCTGCAACGATATTAACATGTACGTCGGAATTACCGTCTCGCCATAATTGTTTACCGCCACCCTCGAGAGCGTCAAGCGAACATTGGAATGGGATAACATGGGAGTGAATATCGATGATCGGCAATTACACCATCCTCACTTTGCTGATGACACCGTCTTTATAACAACAAACATTAGCCCAGAGGAACGTGTGCTTGACGACTTTGATAAAGCCTGTGGAAGGATTGGTGTTCGAGTAAATCTCACAAAAACGATGTTCATCTGGAACGGATTGGTTTCGGATTGGATTTCCCCATTCGCGCTCATCGGAACGTATATCTCTGAAAGCTCCAGTTAAATCTATCTAGGTTGGGAAATCAATATGATGAACGACCTAGCTCCAGAGCTGAGCAGAAGAAAGCAAGCGGGTTGGGGTGCTTTCAAGAGCATGGAGCATGTAGTGAAGAGAACAAAGAACATCCGACTCCGTGCCCACCTTTTCGACTCAATGGTACTTCCTACCCTAACGTGTGCGTCAGAAACCTAGTCGCTGCGTATGTAGGATGGAGGGTCACTCAGCGTTATCGAAGTCGAAAGGACGATGCTAGGAGTATCCCGTTCCACACAAGTGAGGGATGGGATCCGAATCTTCCATCTGCGTCAACGATCAAAAATCAGAGATGCCGTTCTGTACCCCAAACAGTCGAAGATAAGGTGGGCCGGACACGTATTGCGGATGGACATGAGCAGCTAGTGATTGGATTCTTCGGGATGTCAACCGCAGTGCAGAAAGACCAACGACTCGTTGGTCAGAGTTCTTCATGAAAAGTCTAGAAGAAAGATATGATGGTCGACGAATCCCTAGAGCGAGCAGAACCCACTGGGCTACTCTTGTACGCGACAGGGAAGAATGCAAGATTTACTGGCGCCCGCTCGAGTTACTCGACGATTAGCGGGACTACTGGTGATACAGGTGCTCTTTACGTATCCTCTAAGACGCTCTGAGTATTTTCCCATGTTTTTAAACACTTCTAACCCTTTTGTGTTCTGAAAAGAAAGTTGCTCACCATCCAGCCACAGTACTGTCAGACTTTGGTAGTTTCTTTCGCCAGTGATCAACCATATGCGACTATAATCAGCTGTTCTAAACTTCTTCATTGGAAGTCACGTAAAAAAGCGGCTCTGAAGAAGGTGATACTGCCGAAACATCAGCTAGTGTTGTATTGTATTGTGTTTCTCTATGAAAGTGAATGTATATTGTTGTTTAAAAACCTCGCGATTGCTGAACAAGAAACCAACGCATTCATATTCCAGTGCCGAGGTTAATAGAAAGTTGATCCTGAGAGCTATGTATTCTTTCCTTCCTATTTCACATTCTATTCATGCTTTAATTTTAATAGCGACTGCGAGAGATAAATCCTGCAAAGGTTGGGGATATCATGGTGTTGAATTGGAACCGTAAAGTTTGGCGAAGTGGAATAGATTAACAACTGAATTTAAGCCTTTATGTCGACTTTTTTTATTTACTGCCGACCACAGTTTTTCACGGCAGAGTACTATGTGTGATACAACCACAATGATGCCGAGATATTTGCAAAACTCCGAGCCGCAGGTGTCTGCGGTAAGGAACGAAAAAAAGTGGTCTTCACATGTTGTTTTACGATGACTGAAAGTTGTTACATTTTCGAAATTATATGTCGACGGAGAACACATACGGCATTGGGGGAATTGCTACCATACTTGGCTGGGTTCGGCTTAATCCCCCTAGTCCATGTGATGCCGCCCTAACACGCCCTTTCGCGGGGTTATAAGGGAGGTTGAGGGATCACGATATTAATAGATAGGACGAAAGTCCTCAAGCAGCGGTCAAAGCCATACGTAAAACTTCGATCTCTTCCTAGTTGATGGATCCAAGGGAACGAGTCAAATGCAAGAAATGCTGAGGCTAGCGGTGCACATGTGAAAATGGGTTGTGGGAAAAGAACTATTAACTGGTCGGGTGCCCGATGTAGTTGTTGGAGGTGTTCGGGTACAAAAAACAATTTAAAAAGGGAGAGGTAAAGGTTTTTGTCTTCGTTGTAGAAACTATGCTCTGTAGAAATCCGCACAAATTTTGGTGAAGATGGGCTATTGAAGTATGTGGACTGTGAAAGTTAACTCTAGTTTTTATGTGGTGCACCTCATGGAATAGTAAGAACTGTTGCCTGAAGTTTCTATAACCAGGAAAAGTTGCAAAAAGTCAGACATCTCCCGTTTTCTTATCCTGTGAGATTCATCACACTTTTTCTGTTAGTAGTTGTTGAGGGTTACTCTGTGGGATCACGGATTACCAATGTGGATTTGCCTGAAGTTAAAGTAGAAATAGTTTGCTTAAATTATTTCCAGGTACAGTTATCGTGCATTGCTTGGGAAAACTATTACTGGTATTTATGAATGCAATGATAACTGTGGCTGTCAACATAAGCGTTGCTATAATCGTGTCGTTCAGCAGCCGATTAAGTATCCAATACAGGTATCTTACCTTGTTTCTGGTTTAAGGTGCTTCTCCTAAGGTGTAGAATAAACGACAAACAAGGAAAGTCCACGAACTTAGATGAAGCGTGTTTCTGGGCAACTATTGAATACAATTCTTAAAATGTGCGGTAGCTTTAAACTCATCGAGGACACAGAAGAATTTTGAAGAGTAGACGTGCTTTAACTAGCTCTTGCGTTTTAACCTTAGTTAGTTTGATGCAGTTCCTCCCATTTTGATTAGAGAATATTACTGAATAGACACATCACTTGATATCTTGAACTTCTGGATTTCTAGGTATTTAAAAAGTTCACTTAAAAAATGTTTCAGATTTACAAGACGGCACAGAGCGGTTGGGGTGTTAGGACATTATGTGACATTCCAGCAGGAGCATTCATAGCTAACTACGTCGGAGCTCTTCTAACAGATAGTCTTGCTGATGCGCTACAGGGTGAAGACGAATACTTTGCTGATCTTGACCTTAACGATGCGGTGTGTTTCTGAAGCAAAGTATTAAGAGAGTTTTCAGGAAAATTAGTGTTTTGTTGGGAAGCTTGATTAAAAAGTGGGTGGTGTCATTTAAATAACCATCTATTACAGTAGTATTAGCTGATCCTTAGCAGACTCAATTCTTCTCTGTATTTCAACAATCGCTATTACTTGGATACTGGGACGGTCCGTCCTCACTGGTTGTGCGGACCCCAGCATAATTTCCATTTTTCGGAGATTTGCTGCTTAAGCCGTTGTGGTTCCCTGGAATCCCGAGGTTAACCTGGCCAAAGCCTACCCCAGGTTTTCACCACTACAGGCAGTCACTGATCTTGTGGATCAGAGGGAGATTTGCCACTATGCGATTAGTTCGACACCAGGACGGTGGTGGATCCTGGTATTCGTTTACTGTTAGCTGGGCTACCTGGTGGAAACGCCGGACTCCTCAGCTTAGGAGACACTGCCTAGGAGTTGAATCGCTCGCTGTACATCGTAGCTCGATGCCCAGGAATACCTCCAAGCAGCGATGAGGCGGTAAACAGTTGTGAGGAATAATCGATATTAGAAAGATTAACTACGGATTGTCAATGAATTAACATCGACCATTGCATATTCCCCTATGTCAGTTTTCTCTCTGCTTTTTCATTGTTTTAATTCCTAGTAATGAATTATGCAGAAAAGGATTCTTAGGTGGAGAACGAAAAGGCGACAACTCTGGAGAAATGCGGATATTTGGACATGGGATTGGGTAGTTCCGACGATGAGATAAATGAACCGGTTAAACCACGAAGTGAAGTTCGGGATGATGGGATAGGGTAATTATTTTTGGTTTTCCCAAGTTTAAATTCGCTTTTTTTGGTAGCTTTGGTGGGTAGTGATGCAGATCCTATCCTTAAGCAGCGGAAACAACGCGTGAAATGTTGGTAGAGCTTTTCGATGACGAATTCGAGGAAAATAATTCGAATGCATAAAGTGCTGAGATTCAGACAGTAGATGTAAAGAAAAATCCGTAGTGTCTGAGATTCCGTTTTCATCTTTCGGTTAGAGAGGCAAAGGCAATGATGCGATGCTTTCCGTCTCATTTTACGCGTCAGAAATCTGGTCGCAGCATATGCAGGATGAGAGATCACCTAGCATAATGGAACGCGCAGCCGAAACAATGGTGCTAGGACTATGCCGTATCACTCAGTTGAGAGAAGGTGCCCAAAGCTTTAACCTCCGCTAACGATCAAAAATCGAAGATGCCGTTCTATGCGCCAAGTTGTCGAAGGTAAGGTGGGCAGGACACGTAATAGGTGTGAATGACGATCGATGGACAAGAGTCGTTGGTGACTAAGTTCCTCGAAATATGAACTTACTGTAGGGAAACCACCGATACCGATGGTCAGAGTTCTTTACGAAACTAGAAGAAGGACGTGATATCAACGAGTCCCTAGAGAGCAAAAGCCACTGAATTGCCATAGAATGCGATAGGAACAAGTGGATACTTTACTGACTCCAGTTTTGGTCACTCGATGATCAACGGGAGGACAGGTGATGGTATAGGTGAAACGTCTTTATGTGCTAATCTCTGTACAGGTCAGATTCCTCGTCTTCATCTACTGAAGAAGAAGAACCGAAGACAAAACGAAGACGAAATCGTAAAGAAAGACCAGACGAAAATCGGCGACGGAAGAAGTTAAACGCGGCTGAACTAGAGAGAAGTAATTTTATAGTGTTTTCGACTAGTAAATATGTGGAGATAGTCACCATTAGGAAAGTTTCGTTGTCTATCAAGTATTCACGCCCTTAATAATTTAGTAGACGCTGCAGCAGCCATCAGTGATGACACGATGTTCAAATGGTCTGATTACTTCGGTGAGAACAATACGCTATTCGTAGTGGATGCAAAGAAAAAAGGAAATGTTGGACGGTTGGTTAAACAGTACAAGTAACTAACGAACAGTCCGCATATTTTTTTCTAGGTTTCTAAATCATTCCTGTGATCCCAATGTGCAGGTACAGCATGTGTTCGTCGACACGCATGATCTGCGATTGCCGTGGTCGTCATTTTTCGCTATTAGAAATATTAGAGCTGGAGAGGTAGGAATGCAGTCGTTCTTTGTTCACTATATGGATGCAAACATGAGCACCTAGCTCTTTTACAAACAATTATTTTGATGATGCCTACTATAAAACTGTACTACAAATTACATCTATATGTCTCTTAGATGTTGTCATCTTAACTTAACGAAAACATCTCCCTAAGTGTCGAACTTCACCGAGCAAACACAGCAGAGACACGTCTGTATCATTCTGAACGGCAACATTCTCTATGTGGCTGCCATATTCACCATTAGCAGTTGCTCGTCGACGAAATGCTGTTGCTCAGAAATAGTGTTTTCCTATTCATTATACCTAACGAATACCTTTTGAAGTCTGCAGAACGGTCTTCGTTGGACAACCTGTCAAAGGTAAGAAAGAATCTGTGCCGGGAAACAAACGGCCGCAGATTACACTCACGTTGCCCACCGACATTACCCCACTTGTGTAAGTGCAAATTTGCAACACTGTGCTCTAAAGTGTCGAACTGTAATTGAGAGTCATTCGAAAGTTCCTCCGTTGGCATAAACTGATATTTATTCACAAAAACACATGATTGTTCTATATATGTCGCAGTGGTCGCTAAAATCAGTGAAACGTTTCACTATTAATGTCATGTTGTTGACCTAAAGCGGTGATGAAAAGATTTCGATTGGGAGCATCCGATAGACAAGTTACATTTTTTGTGCTTTTGTTCTTCACTGATTTTTAATTTCTCTTGCTGGAGGGGCTTAGCACATCATTAACCCTTGCGTGATGTAACTGGTTTTCGATAATTGACGATAGTTTCTCGATCACGAGTGTGTATCAAGAGTCCGGGACCTTGTAAACCTACACGGCAGACTGGTTTGTCGCAATAATCGCATGTGTAAATTTTGTACACCATGTTTTCAAACCTAAATATATTTAGAACCGATATTTTGGAAAAGCTGAAAGTAATTGAAAAGTTTAAAATTCCCAGAGCAATGGCGATAGATGCGAACTTAAACAATACATTGCGCATCGTTACGTTCCCCTACTCGGCGAAACTGCGTTTAGTTGCTTCGTGTTCAAAATACGGACCAAAAAAAAGTGAAAGAAACAAAATCCATAGCTTTTAGAAAGTCACAACTCTATTTTCATGAAATAGGAGAGCATTTCACGTAGAAAATATATGTAGGTTTGAATATTTTTCTGTTGCAATTAACAAAATTCACTAAGAACAGATATGTTTTCACGCAAGTTGAACGCAGGCACAATTTTAGCATCGAGTGACTCCTGTGAAGGTCACCATGTGAGATACGTTGTAGGAAAGAAGTCGTTACAAATACTTTATGCTTTAATTTACTAGTGAACAAATAATCCAAACTACACTGATGCGTTCATTTTGAAACAACTGACTTCTGTATTACTGCAGCGCCGTTTTTGGGCGTAACCAACAGGTTTTTTTAAACAGATTTGATTTTAAATTAATAGGAGCTATGCTGGAATTATGGGTACTCGCCGGATGCGCTTGATCCAGATCGCCCTCGTCATCGTCAACTTTTCTGCAAGTGTGGCGCCACGACATGTCGTGGAAGGCTTTTGTAGTTGAAATATGTCACTCGAAAAGCAGAAAATATTGGTAGTTGCTAATGATAAGCATGTTAATCACATGTATTTTTGTTTTCTGATCTCGCATATAAATACTACATATGTATTTCCTTCTAGTTCTCATTTTATATGCATTGTAATTGTGTTCTGTTAAATATCGTAAATTTTCTATTCCATAAAATTGTGTATTCGGGTTTAATGGCTCTAAGACCTATTATAGTCTGAAGGAAGTGCTTTCTTTTATTTTATTTGTGCCTTTGATGAAGTTTTTTTTCAAATATGGGACGTATTTTTGTTGGGAAAGCGCCGTTCAATAAAGCGGTTTTTTGCTCTCTAGAATGTGAAATGCCGATGCTGACAGATGTTATATGTTTGAATCACATACAAATACTTACTTGGATACTTGGATAGCCCGTATTCACTAGTTATGTGGGCCCAGTGTAATTTCCATTTTTTCGGAGTTTTGCTGGTTTTGTCATTGTGATTCACTGGATTCCCGAGTTCAGCCTGGGCAAAGCCGCCCCAGGTCGTCTCCACTACAGTGAGTAGCCGCCCTCATGGATCGGAAGGAGATTTACCACCAAGCGACTAGTTTGTTACCAGGACAGTCGTGAATACTGGTGTCGATTCACTCTTAGTTGAGCTTTTTGCTGCAAACACCGGACTCAGCTTGCGAGATCAGGCCGGGGGTGGATCTCTCCGTTGTAGATTGCAGCCCAATACTCAGTAGCACTTCTTAACCACGATGAGGCGGTAAACCGTTGGGAAGGTTACATATAAAGGCAGTCTACACAATGATACCTAACTAGGAAGCCATAAGATTTGGTTTCGTATTTACTATATTTGAATATTGACAGTCGTGTAATTCAGTGCATGATTTAGTTGAATGTCTTCTTGTACTCGTATTCATCTGTTTTCTTTCCTTGCTTTCACGTCAATCTGTGTTTTGTTCGGATCAATTAAACAATTCACAACGCAGTTAGTATGTTCTGCAATAATTTTTCGTGTTTAAGAGAATATTTTCAACAATCAGCGTGTAATATCCTTAATCTTCAGCAATGTGGAATTCCCATGCGCCCTTCCTGGATGTCAGGCAAGCGCAGTGAGCTCCGCTCAGTTGATTATTTCGGAGAGCATCACATCTGTCGTATGGGGCTCTCAATTTTTATCTTTTGTAGATATCTCGGTAGGTTTAACCGTGGGACAGTTTCTTCTACTCTGGGATTATTATTATTTATTTTATATATGGCATCATCACATCTACTGTGCGAATTCCAGCACTTGAATTTGATTCGTATTCTCGCATTCATTAACAACAAATCTTTGAACTTTTCGGGCATGGGGTTCAGCTAGTGCTTAAAGACTCGTCATCTTTATCAATGTCGTTGAAAGCTGGTCTTCTCGGAGTCTTGAAGATAACCGCGTTGGAGCGTACCCACACTCTGACATCCCAGAGTGGAAATTCGAATTTTTCAACTTCTACGAAGTTTTCGAGGATGATCCACTGATGTACATTGCAATTAGACATCCAGAAAAGTCGTACCACGAAGAACACGTGTATCACCTGTCGTCCCAATGATAGTCGAGTGACTCGGTCCGGCGTTAATTAAACTCCAAATTTTCCGTCTCGTGCAAGAGTAGCCTAATGGGTTCTGCTTACTCTAGGGACTCGTTGAGTATCATGCCTTTGTTCTAGTGCTTTGGTGAAGAACTCTGACCATAGGGTCGGTGGTCTTCTTGCAGTACGTTTGACATTCCGAGGAATCCAGTCACTAACAGCTCTTGTCCATCGGTTGTCGTTCATACGAATTACGTGTCCAGCCTACCTTATCTTCAATAGTTTGGCGTATAGAACGGCATCTTTGATTTTTGATCGTTGACAGAAGGCAGAACATCGGGTCCCATTACATCACTTGTGTGACACGGGATCCTCTTAGCATTGTCTGTTCGACTGTGCGTTCGATAACGCTGAGTGAGCTTTCAACCTGCTTACGGAGCGACCAGGTTTCTGACGCATACGTTAGGGCAGGAAGTACTGTTGAGTCGAAAAGGTGGGCACGGAGTCGGGTGTTCTTTGCTCTCAGTACTTCCTCGATGCTCTAGAAAGTTCCTAAAGCGGCTGGTTTCTTTCTGCTCAACTCTGTAGCTTAGTCGTTCACTATGTTGATTTCCCGACCTAGATAGACGTAACTGGAGCATTCGAGGATGTCCTTTTCGTTGAGCGTGAATGGTGCATACGTAACCAAACCGTTCCTCGTGAATATCGTTTTTGTGAGATTTACTCGAAGATCAATCTTTCGGCAGACTTTATCAAAGTCGGCTAGCATTCGTTCCGCTTGGTTAATGTTTAGTGTTATGAGGACAATGTCATCAGCAAAGCGAAGATGATGTAACTGCCGACCGTCGATTTTCACTCCTATTATCCCATTCCAATAATCGCATGACGTTCTCAAGCGGTAAATAATTTTGGTCAGATTGCATCGCCTAGCTTAACCCGTCTTTTGACATGGATATTAATATTGTTGAGGAATGGTGATATCTTGAAAATTTTTATACAGCTCATGAAGAATCTTTATATTAGGCAGTAGGGACTCCCTGACTGTCCAGGGCTTCCATGCCGGACGTCGGAAGGGGGAAGCAGTGGCACGACATATCCATCCTTTATTTCATATGAGGGCAGGAGGACGTGGCTATTGAGCAGATCTGAGTAGTATGCGTGAGTGATGTTCTCTATTGCCTTTCTGGACCCTATAGCTGTTCCGCCTGGGCGTCGATGTGCAGTCATCTTGGTCATGTATTTATGCGAGATTCCGGTAGGCTTTGCGAATACTTTTCCCAGCATCTGCTGCTCCGCCCATAAATGCTGCTCTTTTCTCTTTAAGATCTTTTACAGCCTGTATGCATTGCTTTGCAAGTTCGCATGTTAGTTTGCCGTTGCCTACAGCTCGTGCGATTCCACGTTGGCGTACCAACTGAACTGTTTCTGGAGACGTCTCTTGGTGACTTTCGCGCGCTTAGCTTTCATTGCGCTCGACGCGAAAATGTCGAATGGGTCGATCGTATTCCTCGTCGACGTTATCAAGAACGGCATCTTCCCAAGAGCCCACTAATGAATTGAATAAATCCCAGTTTACGGTGGTTCTGGTACTTCGGTTTTTCAATTTAGCGGATATTTCTCCTCTTCGCGAGAAGTGAAATCTTGCACGGAAGAGGTGATGATCTGATCCCATATATAATTTGGGAGAACAGCGACGTTTTAATTTACTATGATGTGGTTCATTTCGTTATGGTACTCTCCATTGGGACACTCCCATGTCCAGCGTTGTGGGTGAGTTTCTGGAATTACGGATTACCATGAACAGTCTTCTTCGTCATGATAAACTTAAACAGCCGCTCGGGCTGGTCGTTCCATTCTCGTGGGTTCCAATCTGACGTTCTTCACACGTTCTTCTGGGTCCAGTGTTTGCGTTGAAATCTCCAATGACGACGTATCTCACTCACATGAGGGATCTCGAGCCGGTTAGTCGCGAGGCTACGTGGCGCGTCCCCAGGTGGCGAATAGGGGGTTAATCGCGAACCTTTGCTTCCCTGCGACGTAGGTGGATCCAAGGGATGGACTCCCTGTTTCTGCTGCACTGATTTGGCACATACTTTCCGTATTTGCTAGGCGTATTCATCCATGCGTGTGTGGGTGCGTTCTTGCTTATGCGGATTGTATTCTACTAGTCAATTCGGCCAAAAGACTGCAATCAAGTAACCGGGAAGTACATGTGAGGTGGTTAGGAGTCGCCTCCAACAAATATGTCGACTCTGGGAGAGCCTGGCAAGCTACCCGTGAGTATACACAGCCTCCACGTTCAGGGCCCAGTAAGCTATACGTGGGTATCAAAAAGTGCTAAACACAATAAAAAGAACGGGCTTCATTCCTCTGACCCCGAAAGAGACCCCAATTTCGCAGCGTTGGGCGAGTACGGAGAAGCTGCTAAAATCTCAGGGCCAATAGAAGCTTTTTTGATTTCAAAGAATTATGGTGACGATTTGTACCTACAATGCGCGTACACTTGCATCCGAGTCTTCGATAGAAGACTTGCTCATGCGAGCAAGAAGGATAACGTACGACGTCACCGCCCTGGCCGAGACGAGGAGACGCCAGCCTTTCAACGCCGTCTATGACACCGGAGAAGAACGGTTCTTCGGAACATGCGACAGTAGAGGAGTCGGCGGCGTCGGCGTTCTCGTCAACACTGGTTTGTCCATGAACATCGATCCATTCGAGCAACTTACAGCCCGAATCGGACATTTGCGGTTAAAAAGATGTGGATCAACACAGGCTTTCACAATCTTCGCCGTTTACGCGCCAACATCAAGCTATGACGAAGAAGAAATCGAAGCGTTCTATATGGACTTGGAGAAGTTCTACAGAGATTATACATAATTCAAGGTCATTCTTGCAGATTACATTTCCAAAATTGGACCAAGAAGAACGCCTGAAGAACTCCACATTGGGACCCACGGATTAGAACGGAACGAGCAGAGTGAGCGGCTATCTGAGTTTATCATGGTGACCAAGACAACCCATGGTAACTCGCAATTCCAGAAGCTCCACTCTCAGCGCTGGAAGTGGGAGTCTCGCAATGGAGAGCACCATAACGAAATAGACCGCATCGTAGTAAATAGAAGGTTTTGCCTAACTGATATCGCTGTTGTCTCAAAATTCTACACGGGATCAGACCATTTTCTCCTTCGTGTAAGATTCTATTTCTCGCTTAAAGGAGAAAAAGCCGCTAAATTCCAAAACCGAAGTCCCAGAACCACCTTAAACTGGGATTTATTCATTTAATTAGGCGGCTGTTGGGAAAATGTCGTTGTCGATAACATCGACGAAGAATACGATCAGCGCATTCAACATCTTCACGTTAGCGCTATGAAAGCTCAGAATTCGAAGGTCACCAAGAGACGTCTGTCTCCGGAAACACTCGAGCTGAAACGCCAACGTGGAATCGCACAATCAGCAGGTAACTGCGAACTGACGTCTGAACTTACAAAACAATGAAGAAAGGCGATAAAAGATGATCTTAAAGAGAAGAGCAGCAGTAATGTGCGAAGCTGCAGAAGCTGGGAAAAGCATTCGGTAAGCTCACGGAAGCTTCGCCAATTACAAGATCAAGGTTATGGCACTGTGACGCCTTGACGGAACGGTTACAGCGTCCCCAAAGGCAATGGAGAAAATTATTCACAAATACTACTCATCTCTTCGATAACCACGTCCTCTTCCCGTCATATGAAATAAAGGAGGATGGATATGTCGTACCACCGGTTCTCCCTCCCGAAATCCGAGATGCCATTTCGCAGCTGAAAAATCGAACAGCACCAGGTCCGGGCAGGATAAGACCAGAACACCTGTAGAACCTTCCGCCGGTCCTCGTAAACAACCTGGCTCGGCTCTTCAAACGTTACCTGTCTGAATGCACGGTCCCTACTCAGTGGAAGACCAGCAAGACCGTGTTATTGTTTAAGAAGGGTGACCTGCACGATATCAGCAACTATCGTCCAATCTACTTACTCTCTGTCGTCTACAAACTTTTCACTCGAGTCATTCTAAACAGGATTGACAGAAGACTGGACGAAGGACAGTCATGTGAGGAAGCAGGGTTTCGAAAAGAAGACCTTTGATTCAATTGAGATAGAAGCAGTCATAGAAGCCCTTAATAGTCAAGGAGCCCTTGGTCAGTACATAAAGATTCTTGTGAGGTGTACAAAAATTTCACAACTACATCACCATATTACAACGATATTAACATTGACGTCAAAAGAGGAGTTAGGCAAGGTGATACCATATCGCCAAAATTATGAACAACCACCCTCCAGAACGTCATAGGAACATTGGAATGAGGTAATACGGGAGTGAAAATCGACGTTCGGCGGTTACACCGTCTTCGCTTTGCTGATGATATGGTCCTTGTAACATCAAACATTAACCAGGCAGAACGTATGCTTGACGATTTTTGACAAAGGCTGTGGAAAGATTGGTCTTCGACTAAATCTCAGAAAAACGATGTTCATGAAAAACGGATTGGTTTCGCTTGCCCCATTCACGCTTATCGGAACGTATATCTCTGAATGCTCCAGTTCTATCTATTTAGGTTGGGAAATCAATATGATGAACGACTTAGCTCCAGAGCTGAGCAGAAGAAAGCGAGCGGCTTGGGAAGCTTTCAAGAGCATGGAAGATGTAGTGAAGAGAACAAAGAACACCCGACTCCGTGCCCACCTTTTCGACTCAACGGTACTTCCTGCCCTGACGTATGCGTCAGAAACCTGGTCGCTCCGTAAGCAGTATGAAAGGTCACTCAGCGTTATCTAACGTGCAGTCGAAAGGACGACGCTAGGAGTATCCCGTTCCACACAAGTGAGTGATAGGATCCGGAGCTCCGGCCTGCGTCAGCGATCAAAAATTAAAGGTGCCATTCTGTACGCCAAACGGTCGAAGATAAGGTGGGCCGGACACGTAATGCGTATGAATGACACCCGATGGACAGGAGCCGTTGATGACTGGATTCCTCGTGATGTCAAACGTACTGCAGGAAGACCACCGACCCGATGGTCAGAGTTCTTTTCAAAGAGCATTGAAGAAAAATATGATGCTCAACGAGCCCCTAGATAGAGCAGAACCCACTGGGCTACTTTTGCACGCCACAGCGAAAAATAGAAGATTTACTGGCGCCGGCTCGAGTCACTCGACGATCAACGGGACTACAGGTGATACAGGTGATACCGGTGATGGAACTTTTCCAAGTAGAAATAAAAGGCTTCGATTTCTTCTTCGTCATAGTTTAAAGTCGGTGCGTAAGCAACGAAGGTTCTGGAATCTGGTATTGATCCACATCTCTTCAACCGTAAAGGTCCGATTCGTGATGTTAGTTGATCGAATAAGTCGATTTTTGTGGTCAAACTCGTGTTATCGAGGACGCCGACTGCGCCGACTCTTCTACTGTTGAATAGGTGGCGTTATCTAGTCTCGGCGAGTCAGATGACATCTTACTTTATCCTTCTTGCTCGCATAACCTAGTCTTCTATCGATCACTCAGATGCAGGTGTGCATGTATTGTTGGTGCAGATTGTCATCTCAGTCCTTTGATTACTACAAAAATTGTACTAAACATCGATGATGAATCATTAGTTCTTGCTGCGTGCAATGCTTACTGTTTGAAACCTCATTGTGTGCACGTTTTACGTATGCGTTAAGTCTTACATGTTAATGTGGGATTTGTTACAGGAATGAGACGATGTGTTATGGGAGCTCGTATGTTTGCCTTTCATAGCTGTCTGTACAATTCTATGCGTCCTGTTTATTGCTCCAAGGTGAATTTATTTGAGAAAATCCGGCCGTCGACTACTGATCCAATTGCGGGTGTGTTGGTTGCCATTAATTACTCTTTGTATAACGTATAATCTTAACTCCTACCAATATTGGCCATCTATTCGTTTGATCACAGCTTTCGCTCTCCATGTTTCGTACGTTCTAGCGTGTGATTCAGTTTTCCAAAGTTTGTTATGTTCACATAGTTTGACTGAAGGAGGATTTTTTTGGCAATAATCATTTGTTCAGAATGCTTGCAATATGAGAGGAAATCACCAATAGAACATATTCTTCTTCGTCCTGATACGTACGTTGGATCCACAGTTCCTGCCGAGGACCCAGTAGGCTTTTTCTCCCCGCAACTTTGTTATTTTCTTGCCTTTTATGTAGTTAACGACATTACTTAAGTTAATTTTATTGAAGAAGCTATTATAGGATGTGTGGGTGATTTCCGATGGTGGTCTACACGCCGTTCAGATGTCTTTAACGTATTCGTCAGCACTTCTGAAGATTTTCGATGAAATTCTTGTGAACGCAGCCGACAACAAGCAGAGGGATGCACAAATGGACGAAATAAAAGTCAATGTCGACCGGTGATGTTCTGACGAAATTTCATCATAGTTGTAATTATCAAGTTGCATTGCTTTAATGCTCCATTAGATAACCAATGACTGGTTTATGGCTGTTCGTTTCAGTGAATTTCGACTGTTCAACTTCAAATAACTAGAATATTTTATTACTATTTCATAAGTGGCGTTTAATTGATAGTTATTCCATTCCAGAAAGAGCTGTACAATCACCGTATACAATAATGGGCGTGGGCTACCTATTGAAGTACATCCCGTAGAGGGTATTTATGTTCCAACTTTGATTTTCGGTAACCTGTTCACATCCTCAAATTATGATGATAGAGAAGTGAAAGTCGTTGGTGAGTAATTAAGAGGCTATTCTGTTCTTATGTAATTTAAGAAGCAAAATTCTAAGGGAAGCATTGTAGGTGGTCGAAATGGGTATGGTGCCAAACTCTGTAATATTTTCTCAAAGGAGTTCATCGTAGAGACATCGTCAAAAGAGAGCAGTCGGTCTTTTAAACAGGTATAACTGCTAGATGTCACCGAATTTATCCTAGTCAGTTTTAATATAAACCTACAATGTATTCAAATTTGGGTTGGGTGATGCCATCTACTACGGACCTGACGCTGAATCAAGCACGCCCGAAGCTTACCAAATCTTCCATCCCTTCAGAGTCGGGGCATTGATATCAGATTTCTTTTCGGTCAGCTCAGTGTCCTCAACCAACGTGGGAACGCCCTAGCATAGCTATCCCAGGTTTTCACTATTCAGCTATATTCATGAATAAGTCCACGAATCCTCAAGAAGTAGGCGAGCCCACACGCAAAGCTGTGGTCTTTTCATGGATGGTAGATGCGAGTAAGCGAATCGGATGCAAGAAGTACTAAAATCCGCACAGTATATGCCAGAAAATATGCGAAAGTTCGTGTCTTTTCCGCCGCTTTGATCTTTCTGTCTAAGGAACTGTCGAGATAAAGGGGTGGAGGTAATGCCCCTACTTCGAGTTTTTCGTTTCTATGTAACGTGTTTAATGTAGCTTTATAACGGAGTCGGTCTTGAAGCTCGTGCGGACTGCATGCGGTGCTTCGCAAGGTGTCTTTAGAAATGGATCGTGCCCATAAGGAACTTGGACTCAATTCTAGCGAGCGTGTTTCGTCAGAGAAGGTCATGACTTCTAATGCGGGAACCTTTGACTTTTCTGGCGCACAAGCGTCTCTAACGTGCCTCCTTCTGCTGCCGTGATCGATGTTGATTTCCTGAGTTTTATGAACGACGATCTCATAGGTCTGCAATATATAAAAGAATATGTAAGAAGAACGTAGGAGCCGCAAACCTGGTATAATCTGTACCAGTTCGACGTGCCATGAGTGAAACTATGCCGTTCGGATCTTGCGAAATCTTCCATTCTAGACATTTTGAATTCTAGTCATCTGTTTTTCCTTATATTTACCAGATAGGGGTGGTGTGATGTTACTAGGTGTTGACCAAAGACAAATGGACGTTTGCTCCATACCAAATAGTTTTACTCCACAATAGTTTTGAATAAAGTGCGTAGTTGACTGGTTTTCGATTGATACAATCCGACGTAAGAAACCGAATCAATCAATATATTTTTCCTGAATGGAATTATGAAGAATATCGGAAATAAGCCGCTTTTCATGAAGCTTTCCCTCTAGAAAATGTTTTACATCCACTTTTATATTTCAAAGATGCATGGATCAGGAAAAAAAAACGTTAACACCTCACAGCTGGTTCTTTTGGAGTCAACACTGTATGGAGGTGTTGGTGTCAGTGTTCTTATGGATTTTTAGTTTACGAAATATGCTGTTTATTACACGGCAGCTCGGATAGTGGCGCCTTATACTGGTACGAATATATTGTGATGTTATAGAGTGGTTGAACTTTCCGCAAAGGTTTTAGATGTTCGAAAGTGTGATTTTGCAGCTGGTATTAGAATGTTTCTCGACGGTTTTTCGAGGGTTATCGTTCATATTCCGTTGTTGCTGTTCATATCATGTACATTTTGCATACGTTACTGTCGTAATATGATTTATTCTTTTAAGATTCATGTTTTTATGGTAGGTATGGACGAACAATATGTGTGAAGCAAGCGAACCCATTGTAAAAGAGCAAACTGTGTCCGATGGCACAAGAATCACATTTCGTCCGGATATGGAAAAATTTGGTACCACCGCACTCGACGATGATATCTGTAAAATGTTCAGGAAGAGAACATATGATATTGCTGGTACACTTCACGGAGTGTCTGTTTACTACAACAATGAGCAGGTCAAGGTATGTGTGTCTTTTATTTTTATCGAAATTTTCTTCGCTTTAATATAAGTGCTCCAGCCTCTGGTGTGAGATCTACTTTCGTCTGCAACGAATCCTTTCACTTTTCTTTCTCCAATTTACTTCCTAAATCACTTTCTCCTTTTGCTCATTTTTCCTGGTTATACTTTATACGCTTTTCGCTGTCCTTACCTCGTTTCCTTTGCTTTTACCTCCCACTGTGATATTTTGTCGTGACTTCTTACCTTTTTTAAACTTTAACCGATCACTGTGGTAGGCTGTGTTTTTAATTTTTTGGAGCCTTTTTTTACCATTTATTTCTCAACTTCTAGAATACTTGAGGGCTTAACAGGCTTCTAGTAGTGAATTTTTCCTATCGCAAAACGGATATGTATAACTATTTTGAAATATAACATTTTTGCTGGACAAAATCTCGTTTGCTCAATCTCTTCACTACTCCAGATAAAAGTACTGACGCATAAAGAGCGAAGTTAAAGATTTTTGGCATCCACAAAATCAGAATTTTGTAGCAGTAGTCATCTATGGCACATGTAGTTTACAGTATGTTTAACATATGTAAACCCTGCAGGTTGATGAGATTTCAACCCGGCGCAGAGAAAAATTCGTTTTTTTGCATTTCTTGCAGATTGCACGCAACTTTCTCCTTATCGACGTTCTGTTTGCGCCATGTGATTTTCATTTTTCTCAAGCCTTTCAATTCTAGAACGAGCTCACACTTGTTAGTACTCAGTCGTTTCTAATTATTCTGAATAAAGGGAAATCTCGTTGTAGGTGAGAAGGTGGCGGAAATTTCCTATCAACCCGTTATTTGTAGGCCATCATATTCTACTCTAAGTACTAATGTTTTCTCCACACTTCACTGCATCCTTTCTCACAAGTAACTATCTGTGCTTGATAAGTTTCACCACAGGTATCATCGTTTCGTGATTATGTCAATCTTTATTCGGATGAAGACGCATCAAATCATGTACTGTATGTGAATGCAAGCCGTCGATGGCAGTGGGCAGTAAAACGTTCACAGAGTGGTTTCCAGCAAATATCCTTTGTCAATAATATTGCCACAACGGGCGTGAGTTTCTTTATAACTGTGTTTTTGATCAGATCCGCTGACAATTTTATGCATGGCGAAAAACAAGCTAAATTTGAAATAGTAGGTTGGTATCAAATTTGCGATGCATACTGTTTTAGCTTCTAGTTACTGCCTATTTTTTTAATGTAAGGGTACTGTTTGGACTATAGTCACAAGTATGCTAAGATATGAGCAAAACTCGGAACCTGAAGTGGGTTGAGAAAGAATGAAGGCCTCGGTTGATATGGTGGATAGCACGTGAACTCCCCTGTAAGCGTAATGGCGGGTTCGAAGCTCGCCTGGGGTTCCGAGTTTTGCCCATGTCTCAGCACCCTTGTGGTTGTATTACCATGTGCTGTCGTTATTTCATAGGATTGTTTTGCTCTTGAGTCGGTTAGTCGGAAGACTACCTAACTCGTTATCAAACGACGGATAGTTTTAAAACATTTGGATTCATCGGATTGACTACCCGCTTCTTATACACCATATTCACCCTTAATCCCTCACAGGTCATCGTTTTGACACACATAGGCATGGATTTTTGTGTATAACTACATGAATTATATCTTAAGCCTCCACCGACAGAAGATCTGCAGTGAATTTGCTACGAAGTTGATGGCATTTAGTTCCGCGTCGGCTTCAGAAAATGAGAATAGAATCTACCCTGACAGTTACCCGCGTTTGCACCTAAAGAAAATAAAAAGTTTTATTACTCTGATCTCTAGAGAGCCTGGTACTGCTGGTAGGAAGAGAAGTACGGCCACCCGTTTAAAAGTTCAGGGTATTCTTGGCTTTTTAGGTTGACCATATATGAAGGCTGTAGCAATGTACTTACAATCTAAACATGTTTGCGTCCATTAATGCCATTTCTATCGAGGAAGCTTCTAATCAGAAAACTAGAGAACGTCACTGGATTAGGCGGGAGGAGGAAACATGTGGTTACCACCGTGTATAATACTGGAAAACAATTGTTCTCTGGAAAATTTGATTGCATAGGCGAGGACGAAGTTAGTATCCACTGGTAACCTTATCAACTTGGAGTTCTCGTGAAGACACCTAAGCAACTTACAGCGCGAGTCAAATTTGGAAAGAACAGGAACGATGAGGTTTTTTGGTCGATTATAAAGACCAAGAGTACCCATGGTTGCTTACAAATCGAGAGGTTATCCATTCTTTTCTCAACGTTAAACGTGTGAGTTCTAGGGGAGCGCTTAAAAGGTTAAGTAATTCTCAGTTTGTAGCATCGAAGAGGTGATTGTATGCATCTCTCCTATACAATAACTGGTGGTGGCCTAACGATATATTAGTTCAGAGTTGCTATACTCTTAGCCAAGCATGCTACCAATTTGTCGATCCTGAATAGATAGGTTTGATGAACCCGAAGGGTGGTATCTAACCGGCTACTACATGTTTCCTACAGGGTACCTCTAATTGTTGCTCTACAAACACAAATTGAATGCATTTTACTGCCGAGCTATACCGATAATCAAATCAATCTTCAGTATCTCTCCCGCGCATGCCTTTCATATTTTTGCGCTGTGAGCTGTTACATTGGTGCATACACTATTGTTAATGCATTTTATTAGGTAAAAAGCCCACTGAACCACCTCACTTGTAATTTGTTGTACATACATTACAAATCTCATTGCATTGTTTAAATAATATGTATATACTTATGAAGGTGTAATTACCCAAAAAAAAAACTCTAAGGCGTCGTCAGAAGCCAAATGACGGTGCTAATGAGCGTAGCTACGTCCAAAGCAAGTGGCGTTGGTCGTAGGGTCAAGGATCGGGTCGCGGGGTCTAGTCCCTAAGCAATGAGACGTCCTCTATAGCATGTCTGGTGGTGTGACTGATGGCTACAAGGTGCTGTGTCTAGTGGTGCGCCCAGTGGCAAGAATGGGATGTGCATGTAGGGCAAGCACTAGGGCGTTATGGCACATGCAGTCTCTATCGACTTAGAATGTGTTTGTTAGGTAGATAGAGAATTCTCTATCTGATAGAGGAATTCTCTATATCCTGGACGAAAATCAGATCGGCGACATGCTGTGTATTGTAGGCTGCCGCCAAGGATTGTGCTACACGCGCCTCGGAGAGTGCTGCAGTAGAGTTTGCAATATCAACATCAAAAGATGTTTTTCCCTAACTATATCCCCGTTTTCGTTAGGTATACACGAAATTGTACAATAATTTCCTTTATAGCATATATTTCTTCTCTGAGAAGGGCTCCATAGCTGTGGAATTAAAACGAGAGAAAGTGATCATAAAGATATGGATATTTAGTCATTCTCTATTCTTTTTTGCATTATTTTGGTAACTTGGACACAGGCAACTACCAGTTTACGTTCCAGTCGACAAAGCTCTGCAGGAAAGCGTTGAAGTGGTACCTGTGAGAGAAGAGCAACAGTCTGCGTTGATAACTTTGTCAAAAACAACTAAGGTGATGCTGAGATATTTGCAAAGTACCGGACCGCAGGTATCTGCGGTGGAGAACGAACGCGCTATTGTCCTTTCCGGGTAGTAACGCATCCACCACCACACCATACGGGTCCATCGTTTCGCCTGTCTCTCTGAAAAAAGAATAGGCAGTAAATAAAAGGTTAAGATTATGATTACAACTACAGCCTCGGCTTAACTGGGTTAAATGCCGACTTGGGCTCCCCAGATCAATCCCGCTGACGGGTGATTGCTGATGGCGAAAGATCGATAGAACTAGCTGAGAGACAGGCGAAACGAAGGACCCGCATGGTGTGATGGTGAACGCGTTACTCCCCGGAAAGGACAATAGCGCGTTGTTCCCCACCGCAGACACTTGCGGTCCGGTGTTTTGCAAATATTTCAGTATCACCTTAGTTGTATTTCACATGGTACCCTTCCGTTAAAAATTATAGTAGGTAGTAAGTAAAAAAAGGTTAAGTTTGCGAAAATCGTATCTAACGCCAGCTGGAGTTGGAATTATGTGACGAAGCCGACCTGTCAGACCTGAAGACAGAGCAGTTGCTCAGTTCTAGAAAGTGATGTAACGTCAACGTTCGAACCATCAATGACGTCTGTGAAAGATACAAAAGGACGCAGTGAAGTGGTGTTGTGGCGTCTTTGCTGATATTTCTGGGATGTTTATGTATTTCAGAGATGCTTAGTTGTTGAATTTTTTCGACAAGGCGTTGAATTTTTCAGGGAGGTACGCACGTCGACTACATTACTAATCAATTAGTTAATATGATAAAGCCTCTTGTGGAGAAATCACTGAGGAGCAATATTAAAAAAATTGTGGTAAGTTGAAATCCAAAATGTTTAAATAATAAGACAAAGCACGCTTACATTTCCTCGAACTACTAGTCGTAGCACATATGCTTTAGACTTTTTGTTTTGTTTTACATTTGTAACTTAAATTTAAAATTTTCAACTTGTAGGTGAAAAATCATCTTTGCGTTTTCGTCAATGCATTGATCGAAAATCCAGCATTCAGTAGTCAGTCGAAGAGTGTTCTTACAACATCTGCATCGAAATTCGGCTCAAAATGCATCTGCGATGTTACCATTGTCCAGTCGTGGGCAATCGAATCAGGATTAGTGGAGGAGTTAATTAACGATTCCATGGCCAGAGAAGTAAAATGGACCTTGGCTTTGATGGGCTGATTGGAAGTTAAACAAGAACTAAGTTTCCGCCTACTTAATGGAAATATTTAGGGGCGATCTGCGAGAAAAGTGAAGCCAAAGGTTGTTGATGATCTGTCGAATATCGTCAAATTAGAAGACGCTAACTGGGCTGGTGATGCAGTTTTTTCACAGGAATGTCGTCTTTTCATTACTGAAGGTATGCAAGAATATTACCGTTACTAGTTCCCAGGATCGACTTTCTCTTAACCTCGGCATTGGAATATGAATGTGTCGTTTTTTTGTTCAGCAATCGCGAGGTTTTTAAACAGCATACATTTACTTCCATAAAAAACACAATACAATACAACAGTAGCTGACGTTTCGGCAGTATCGCCTTCTTCAGAGCCGCTTTTTCGTGACTTCCAATGAGGAAGTTTAGAACAGCTGATTATAGTCGCATGTGGTTGACGACTGCACCATCCCACATCAAAAATCAATGCGAACGTACGGGATCAGATCGCGTATGACCTCCGGGCATTCGTCCCTGCTATTCATTGTGGGGTTTTTGGCATTTATCCAAAAAGCCTCAAGGAGTTTTCGCGCTGGTGTTTTGGACTCCTGTGCAAGGATATTGACTTTTACTTCAAAATCGTCTCCGCTATGCTTTTGTATCCTATGCGTGCCTAGTGGGGTGCTTCGTCTTAGTTTTCGTTTGCCATCTACGTGTTCTTTTATACGGATACACAAAGGTCTGCCCGTTTCGCCAATATATTCATCTCCGCAATTATTACAAGAGATCAGGTATATCGTACCTGAATTCATGCAATCACCGTCCCTGCCGTAAGGGCAAATTACGCAGTTTGTTGTTTCACGTAGATGGTCATGCAGGCGGTTACGAACTAATTGACGACGTAGAGTAGCCGGTTGTATTTCAACTATAGCTGCCGATTCCTCTAGACCTGCCCTTCTTAAGCATTGTTTTATAGCTGCGCTTACTTCATCGCTTATAAAAGGCAACATAAACGGGACTTTTTCTTGGCCAAGTGTCTCGCGTGAGCGCGTCGCTCTCCTTCTAAACTTATCTCGTGGGGTTACTATTTCGTAACCTGCGGTCCAGAGTTTTGCAAATATCTCAGCAACGTTGTGGTTGTATTTCGTAGCCGTTGGAGATGGCTGTTTGGCGAGCCAAGTCGCGCGATTCTTCTTTTAGGTCCGTGGTAGTGCACACAGAGGTGGCTGTTCGAAACATGTTTCTCACAATGGCCCTCTTTGTGTGTGAAGGGTGGGAAGAAAGGAAATGAACGAGGATGTTCTTATTACTTGGCTTTTGGTACCACTTTGTCAAGTCTTTTTCAGTCTTCATCTTCCGGTTCTGAAGGAGGCAATTCTACCGAAACGTCAGCTAGTGTTGTATTGTATTGTATTTCCCTATGGGAGTAAATGTCTGCTGTTTGAAACCTCGCGATTGCTGAACAAGAAAAGGACGCATTCACAATCCAATGCCGAGGTTAATAGAAAGTCGATCTTGGGACCTAAATACGTTGCCTTTAATTCTTCAGTTCTTAGTAGTTTTTAGGTGACTCTGCAAAGGCCCTTGCCATCGCTGGGCTTGAAGTTGTTGGCAGAGATCGCTACGGTGTGTTTCCAATTGTAGGTAAACCAGCAAACGTGTCTGGTTTATCGATGGAGAAGGTGGGGAACACATTTGCTTCTCTAAATTGATATTGAACAATATTGGTGATTTAAGGTGACCTCTTCCTCCGAGATTAATTCGCTATTACGAATTTTGGGCCTGACATATGGGGTTGACTACTCGTTGTCTGAAAATCGTGTGAAGTTGCGCTATGGTGGAATAATCATACTTACCGACCAGGTAAGTAGTTCTCACCTTTCCTTAATATCATTTGCTACTTTCTGTCCTCATTTTTCTCTGTTTTGGATCATTACTGATAACTACATTGTTCAATAGCATAATATATTACTGTTTTACTATTCAAGGACGAGGACGGATCTCATATTAAAGGTCTCATTATTAATCTGCTGCACACTTTTTGGCCACAGTTACTTCGAGGCGGATTCGTTTGGTCTTTTGTGACCCCGTTGCTTAAGGTAATTACGTCTTGTCGTTTTACAATAAATCAGCTTAGAAGTTTTTTAGAAAATTTACTCGAATTAAACAGATCATTTTGTCATTCTCTCGATTTTTCATTGACTGTAATATCTTATTTACTACTTGTAGAGATTCCTCGCTGCACTTATGTCCATTTTTATAGTTGGCTCGTCTCTTCACTAACTCTGGCGAAGATTTCATAACTGATGGTTTTGCTGTTTTCTTCACTATTCTTTAATCTATAGATTTCCAAGAGCATGTTTATTGTCAAAAGAGCGCGTGTAGCGCAGTGGTTAGAGACGTCCTGCAATGCACATTGGATCGATCCCAAACCTCAGGCTAACCCATCCTTCCATCACTCCGGGGTCGGAATATTGGTACCAGATTTGTCTAAGATTATAGCAGCACTGACTCGATACAACAGTAGGCCACCGCGAGTCAATGTTTAAGACGTATGCATTAAATCACCTCTAACGATACTTAATGAAGTCGAATGCATGGCGCATCCGTCATGGATTGGCAGGCACCGGGAGCTTTATCCTTTATCTTTATGGGATCGTGTGGCGCAGTGGTCGGAGGCGCTCGGCAACACACACATGGAACCAATCCCCGTGCCCATGACCCACCAAGCGTTCCATCCCTCCGGGGTGGGCAAATTGGTACCAAACTTGTGTGGGAGGATAGCAGCACTGACTGGATACATTGGTAGGCCACCTCGAGTCATTGTGAAGGCCATATATGCATTAAATCACTTCTTACGATGCTTAATGAAGTTGAATACGTGGCGCATCCCTCCAGGGATTTATCAACGTCGAGCGCTTTATCCTTTTTTTATCCTTTATCCTTTATCTTTGGTGTCTTATTAATTTCTTTTTTATTAAGCTTCTCTGTAATTCCTTTCCTTATTCATCACTCTTTACCAGGGACATATTCGATCTCATGTTATTTTGTTTTATAATTTTCTACAATGGAAAGACATGACAAAAGCAACTGTAAGTGTTAATTGAACTTAAAGATGGCACGGTATTTTAATATATGGTACAACTATGACTCAAAAAAAAAACGCGAATCGTTTGTTTGAAGATAAAGAATATTCTGGACAATTTCCATTTCTAGCTAATGACCGTTAGAAAAAGTTATTAAAAAAGAGCGTCGTTATACATCCGTTTAGCATTTGAAATGCGTTCTTTAGAGTAGTGAACTATTATCGAAGTATTCTTCTAAACATTCTCTTGGAAGCCTTCGATTATTTTTTCAAGGGTTTAGTCGTGCAAAAACTGTGGTAGCTACTTGGTCTTCTACCATTGAAAAAAGTTCAATTTTCTTTAGACTAAATCATATGAGTATTTCACAACACAGCGAAATTTGAGCAAATAGAGGATCTGCTGTTAGGATCTGAAACCCCCTTAGAGCGATATTTCAAAGTCTCTTATCTGATCTTGTCAAGTCCGTGGGTTCCCAAGTACTCCAGTTTTTTTGGAAAAGCTTAAACACTGAGATGGAAAATCTACTATTACTTTCCGAATGGGTTTTAAACTTTTACTATAAAGTTTTTAAGAAGGTATGCAACTTACATAAGTCAGTGAAGAATTTGTCAACAACTAGCTCAAAATATTTTTGTAATTTCAAAAAATACAATACTTCTTAAGGTGCGGGCTATCGTTTTGTTCTCGATTGGTCGATCAACTAATTCGAGGAATTGTCGCTGTACCTTCTCGCAAGGCAGCGAGCTTCACGCCGATTTAAAAATGCCGGAGTTTGCCTTTTAAAAGGAGCAGTAGCAGAGTACCACAGTAGCACATCTAAATGCTTTGGATTCTTGGAAGGCTACAGTTGAACGGAGTTCAGTATTTCACTGAAAACAAACCGGAAGCAGCAACCACATCCTTACACAAACTAGAATGACTCTCAAGATAAGTTCGAGTACTGAGTGCTCCATTAAATACGAAGGTGCACTGTCTATGTTTCGAATTAGATAATTGTAGTACTTCCATCATCGTCGTTGAAGGGAATATTTCTTTATTTTTTATTTTATACTACCCTTCTACACCTCCATCGTGCGGATGCCAGCACCTCTCACATTCGATTCGTTTCCTTGCATCTATCATCCACATAGGTCTTCCAGCATTTACGTGTGACTTCGACTGCTGCTTGAGAATTTTCATTTCATCTTGAATATCGTGGAATCCTGGTCGAGTCGATTCTCCTGAATTCATGGGACAACCGGGGTAGAAGCGTTTCCATCTAGATTGCAGAAAGTGGTTTTTTCCCAGACAAGTCCAGTACCAATTTGCTGACCCCGGATGGATGGGAAACTTGGTGAGCCTGGGGCGGGATCGAACCAGCATCGTGCTTGTGATGATCGGTGTCACTACCACTGTGTTATCCACCCCTTAAGTGAATATTAAAGTCCAAATTTTAGGTATGCTAAAAACCAGTATTTCATAGGTCTCTGAGCAATTCAGTAGTAGAAATTTACGTACTTGTCAGGATTCAGCTGTTCTTTTCTACTCTAAAATTTTCTTGAAGGTCTAATCAGCTCATTGGGAGACTTTAGATAGCTAGTTTTTTGTTCAGCGCTTTTTTGAGTTGACCATTATGGATTTCTTCCAACGATTACCTTTCATTTTCGATTATTTTTTATTTTTTTTGGATTGTCATTCATGAATCCTGCAGCTCCTATCGTCCTCATCTCAAACATACATTTAACGTCATTGATGACCATGCTACATCATTCTTTCCTACTGTTAACCATTTGTCCGCTTCGTAAGCATGCGATGTGTACACTAAGTTGCCATTGTCTTCTCGTTGCCTTTATTAACGCACATTTACTCGAATATTCTTAGTGACGCCATCAGATTGTTCGTAATATTGCCCTCCAAACTCAAATATTTAGGGATGTCTAGTGAATGACGCGATTATAGTTTCAGCAGAATTAGAACGCTTCTTCCTCGTTGAATTCGTTTTCTCCAAGTATTGATGATAACACTAAGTATCTGAACGTTTTGCTTGATTCCCTACTTCCCACAAAGTTTTCACCTTCTCTAATTGATAATGGTAGGGTTTAGAGATATCACATCCACTGCCGAAGCCTCTGGAGCTGACCACTTTTGGTATTCACTTAAAGCCTAGACATACGCAGCATTCAATGAGTTCGTTCCCTTAAGGAATGCGCCATAATCAAGAGCAAATTCGTTTTACATCCTTCTACTCAAGTCATCGCAGACTGCCTTATGTGATGGAATGAGAATACTGTAATTAACAACACGAAGATAATGTAGCTCGACTTGTTCTTCCATGATATTTATTTCTATTCTCGTATGACCCTCTTGAGAACGATATGAAAGTACTGTGGCTTGGTAATCTATGACATTCAAGTTGGAACTTGCGTTAACCCTCTCTCTTACCATCCTTTGTGCAGTGACTCCGTAACCCGCCACTCGTATAAATTCTCTTTTCCGTAACAAGTCTAGGGTTTTGAAAATTTTTCCGAAGAGTGCTGAACTCTTCGGTCACCTTAAAACCTCTTAGTGGCCTGCAATTTTTAGCACTGTGATTGTGTTGATGTTGATATGTTAGATAAGCTGGTCGAAGCTGATCGTATTCTCCGTCGATGTTGTATACAACGGTTTTTCCTAGCTCCTATAGGTCAATAGTACTTGTATGGTGTGGTGGTGAACGCATTAGCTCCGGAAAGGATAGTCGCGTGTTCAGTTCCCCACCACAGACACCAGCGGTCTAGAATTTTGCAAATATCTCAGCATCATTTTGGTTGTATTTCTTTCTTCAGTTGTGCATGAGGTTCCAGAAATGAACTTGCTATTCACTATAAACTCAAACAACTCTCACCTGTGGACTCCGATGTGAACTTCGTGAATTGTGCGCTAACGACGTTGTAGTAATTATAGTGCTCTACCGAACTTCTTTTGCTGTAAAGGCACTAATCTGATACTTTACGTAGCCTGAAGTTGGAGGTGGACGAGGAAGATTGTTAAAGCTAGCTTTGATCCACAACGTTTAAACCGTAAATGTCCGAATTGGGTCGTTAGTTGTTCCAAGGAATCGATGTTGGTACCCAAATTTGTATTCCTAAGACACATAGCTCCACTACCATCGGAACATTTAGCAACCATGCTTTTTTTTGTCTCAGCCATCATGGTGAGCTCGTACTTGATGTTCGATATATTTTCTAGATCATTCATGCAGTTGTTGCAAGTAAGTTTACTAACATTAGATCTTCCAAATTTTGTTGTTCTAGAAATCATCTAAATAACGAGTACAGTTCGCATACTCAGAGCGCGCCAATGCGCGCTTGAAGGAATACACAATGTTTGCAGCAGACAAACCGTGTCAGGCTGATAAATGCGATAAAGGCAGCCATCTAGATTCACCTGGCTATGCTTTTGTGAACGCGCATAAGCTCTTGATCAAACTGATCTTGTCGTTTATAAAAGCTGGACGAAAATCAGTTTTTAATAATTTCTTGGCTAGGAATTCATCATTTTCTCGCTCAGCAGTCGCGAGGTTGTTAAACAGCATACGTTTAGTTCGATACAGTAACACACATGCAACGCAATCGTAGCTGACGTTTCGGCAGAATCGCCTTCTCTAGAGTGTGGAAGGGTATAGTGATACGCAATTTACTATGTCAAACGCTCCAATAACACATACAGACAGATGAGAATCTAAATGGCAGTCATATGGCCAACAGCTTCTCGAGAAATCTCACCGTTTTTACATTCCTTCCACTGAGGAAGAGCCGCTGATCAGAGTCGCATATGGTTGATGGCTGCATCTCCCCACATCAACGATCGCTCGGGGTATTCTTCTCTGCTATTCATTGCAGAATTTTTGGCATTTATTCAAAAACCCTCGAGGAATTTGTGCTTCGTTGTTTCGGCATCCTCTACTAGGATAGTGACTTTTATATCAAAATCGTCTCTGCTATGCTTTTGTATTCTATACTTCCCTACTGGAGTACTTTGTCTTGATTTTCGTTTGGCATCTAGGTGTTCTTTTATGTGGATACATAATGGTCTGCCCGTTTCGTCAACATATTCATCTCCACAAGTATTACAAGAGGTCAAGTGTATCGTACCTGAGCTCATGCACTCACCATCCCTGCCATAAGGGCAAATTACGCAATTCTGTGCTTCACATAGACGGTCATATAGGCGGTTACGGGCTAATTGACGACGAAGAGTATCGGATGGTATCCATACTATCGCACCCGATTCCTCTAACCTACCCTTCTTAAGCACCGTTTTATAGGTATACTTATTTCATCGCTAATGAAGGGCAGCATAAACGTGATTTTCTTTTATCCAAGTGTTTTGGAGGTCGCTCTCCTTTTAAACTTATCTCGTCGGGTTAGTGTTTCGTAGCCATTGGAGATGGCTATTTGCCGAGCCATTTCGCGCAATTCCTCCTTTAATTTCCTACTGGTGCACACGGAGGCGGCTGTTCGAAACATGTTTCTCACAATCGCCCTCTTTATGTGTAAGAGATGGAAGGAGAGGAAATGAATGAAATTAGATTGTCATCTTTTTGTGTGTGTTATTGAAGTGTTTGACATAGTAAATTGCGTATCACTATACCCTTCCACGCTCTGAAGAAGGCGGTGCTGCTGAAACGTTAGCTACGATTGTGCTGTATGTGTCTTGTTGTGTGGATGTGAGCGTATGCTGTTTAACAACCACGCGATTGCTGAGAGAGAAAACGACGAATTAATATTCCAATGCCGAGTTTAATAGAAAATCGTTCCTGGGTACTGTTCTTGGATAGGTTTAAAACTTATTACAACGAAGATCCGAAACTGTTGGATGCCTGAAATACTTGCTATCTATGTATATCTAAACGAATAAGCAAACTGGTGTATTTTGTAATAATTTTGTGTAGAAGAGGAGGTGAATGTGGTATTGTTCATTAGAACTTCGATCTCTTCTTGTGCGTTGTTTCTCGTATGGATATCTCGTAATAATCCTCATTATTACTGACTATTACTGACTTTTATCCGGTTTTTGCTGCACCGTGTTGTGTAGCTGTCTTTAGATAGCTTTGTTGAGCGCGCTAACATTTTCTTCACTATCACCATCACGCTTGAGTCAGACCTATGGAGTATGTAAAAATCCAAAAAAAAAACAGTCCTCTTCTCATCCAAGGTCTTTATTTTCTCATTGTTGCCGAACTTCTACAACTCCTGTGTGGTATCACCAATTCTATACTTCCGATTACTCTTTTGTGAATGGGAACATTATGGAAATCGGGGAATAAAAGCAATAACATTAATATTAAATAGTGTATAGTGATGAATTTTCAGTGATGTAACGTCCACTTTCAGGCTCGTCTTGGATCGGAGACGCTTAGTTTCTATTCTACTGCTCAGTACAAAAAGTGGAAAGAAAATACAGCCAATGCTGATAAATTCGTCGTTAAATACTACAAAGGTCTTGGTGGGTGGCGTCATAAATTTCCCAGAATGTAACTTTTATACAGTTGTGTTCCTTATCATTGTGGATACCTAATAAATCTGTGTTTTGAATCATGAACATTTAGTGGTCTTCATGTAACAGGTCCCAAGAGCGGCTTTATTTTGACCTCGGCACTAATCAATAATTGGCTTTTTTTTGATGAGCAAACCCGAAGTTGTTATTAAAGCATTTATTCATTTACAATAGCTGTCTTTTCGGAGGTTTCGCTTTCTTCAGAGCCTCGAATGGTCAGATTGGCATGGAATCCGCTCTGCCCAACACTTTACCTTATTTCAACA